GCGCCCGTCGGCTTCTGGGACCCTGCCGGCCTCAGCAAGGAGCCCCGCCGGCTCCGTTTGCCGCGGAATTATCGCGCCGCCCCGCGCGAGGGCTGTGCCTCCCTTGCTACTGGCAGCGTCGCGGAGCGTCCGCCCTGAAGTCCTCGTGCTCGATTGAGGAAGAGGAAGGAGGGGGGGAGGAGGAGGAGGAGGAGGGGTAGGAGGGAGGAGGAGGAGGAGAGGAGGAGGAGGAGGAGGAGAGGGGAGGAGAGGAGGAGAGGAGGAAGAGAGGAGGAGGAGGAGGGAGGGGGAGGAGGAGGAGGAGGAGGAGGAGTAGGAGGAGGAGGAGGAGAGGAGGAGGAGGAGGGAGGGAGGAGGAGGAGTTAGGAGGAGGAGGAGGAGGAGGAGGGAGGAGGAGGAGGAGGAGGAGGAGAGGAGGAGGAGGAGGAGGAGGAGGAGGAGGAGGAGGAGGAGGAGGATCAGGGAGGAGGAGAGGAGGAGGAGGGAGGAGGAGGGAGAGAGGGAGGAGGAGAGGAGGAGGAGGAGGAGAGGAGGAGGAGGAGGAGGAGAGAGGAAGGAGGAGGAGGAGGAGGACGGAGAGGAGAGGAGGGAGGAGGAAGAGGAGGAGGAGGAGGAGGAGGATCGGATTACTCTTCGTCGAGAAAGCCACGCCTTCTGCCAGCTGAAGAGGAAGGATCGGGAGGTGCATACGAGCATCGGCTGAGGGTTCCTGCTCGCATCCACGATGGGCAAAGGAGAAGGAGAAGGTGAAGGAACAGGAGGAGGAGGACGAGCAGGACGAGGAGGAGTGGGATGACGACGATGATGATTATCTATGATGAGGATGGTGGTGGTGATGATGAGGAGGAGGGATATTCTGATGATGACTGGTGATGCTGATAAGGAGGGTGATTCTCATGATGACTGTGGTGGTGGTGGTGTTGTTGGTGGTGATGATGCTGCTGATGATGATGATGATGCTGATGGTCGTGATGATGAGGATGATGATGATGGTGGCGCTGTTGATCATGATGGTGATGCGGCTGATGATGATTTTGAACATCATGTTTATGATGTTGGCAATCATGATGCTGATGATGATGATGCTGATGACGCTGACGACGATGGTGAGGATGATGGTGATGATGCTGATACTCATAATGATGCTGACGAGGATGATGCTGATGGTGCTGATGATGCTGATGATGGTGGTGGTGATATGACGACGATGATGACGATGACGACGACGATGACGATTGGGATGATGATGGTGCTGCTGCGGCTACAGTTGAGGGTCATGATAATGACGACGATGATGATGATGATGATGCTGGTGGTGATGATCATGATGGTGATGGGGCTGATGATGATGCTGATGCCGATGCTGATGATGATGCTGATGCTGATGCTGCTGCTGATGATGATGCGATGATGCTTACCTGATGATGATTATGATGATGGTGCCGATGCTGATGATTATTATGATGATGATGCTGCTGATGATGTTGATGATGATGATTCATATGATTACTAGTATGATTACTATTGTTTGTATTATCACTATTATTTTTGACATTATTATTATTAGTATTCATATTTGTGATTACTAGGGGTGATATTACTATTATTACCATTTTCATCATTATTATTTTGCAAGGCGCATTTTTAACATTTATCATCATCATCATAATCATTATTATTATTATTCTCATTATTATTCTCATTATTATTATTATTATTCTTCAGGCTTGCGCCACATTCGCCGACCCTTTACTCTTCGGCGGAATTGTCTTCGGCGTGTTGTTGTCCGTTAGGGCGTTTGATTTTTGTCAGGGTCATTTTGGCAGCTGTCTGCGACTGTTTTTTCTCTGTTGTTGGGTGTCGCCGGCGCGCTCGCCATGCAGATGCAATTGGTCAGGTGGGAGCTTCGGATGCCTCTGCAGCCATTCTGGGGCAGTCAAGATTGCTGGGCCGTGCGGGCATTTTGGGGGGACGTTTGGGGCGCATGCCCGGCCGTGTTTGTGCAGTGCCTAGTGTCGTTTTGCGGGGTGCCCTGGATGAGTTGTGCCTCCACTTGTGCGGGTTCGCCTTTTGTTTCTCGTGTGATCGTTGTCGGTTATGAAAATGGGGTCGGCGGACTCAAGTATCACATGCCCGTCTGCGTAGTATCGTTTCTAAGTCCTCCTTGTGGCGTTGTCTAATCCGCAGTTGGGGGGTCTTCGCTGGTTCGTTTTGGTGGCGTTTACGCCGTCTTCAAGCGGTCGTGTGCTGTTTCGATTCGATGTGGAGCCGGCTTGGAGACATTCTGGCCATGTTTGAAGCAAGTATCTTGGGCCGTTTTGGAGGCCATTCTGGCGGCTTCGTTGTTCGAAATTGCCTTGGATATCACCCAGCCAGACTTGGCTTGTGCCGCTCTTCAAACGTGAGATTGTCGGCCCGCTGGGGAAATTCAAGGAGGGAAAAGTTAACGCGCTTGGAGACCCCAAACGGGTCGGCGGATTCCAGGGTTCAGTGGCTTCTTCTCCACGTGGCCAGAATTTCAGGAAGGGTTGGTTTCTACACGTTCATTCGTATACGTGTTGAGATCGGCCTTCAAACATCTAATGGCATTCGGCCCATCCCGCCACTGTTCTTGGGTTGTTGGTCAGAGGCCTCCTGTATATTCGTTGGGATCTCGTCGGAGGCCCTGGGGGGCGGGGTTCTTGGAAGCAGTTGTGAGGCCTCTTGGGTGCCTCTTGGGGTCTTCGTGAGGCCTCTCGGAGGCTTCGTGGGGCCTTTGCGAGGCGGCGTCTTGGGGACCTCTTGGAGCCTCTCGAGAGTCTCTTGGGGCTTCCTGGCGCCGTCTTGGCCGTCTTGGAGCTCTCCCGGGCCGTCTCGGGGCCCTCTTGGGGGCCGCTTGGGCCGTCTTGAGCCCCTTTTGGCCCGTCTTGGAAAGTCGGAAGCTCGAAAAGGCGAGAACCCCCAAAACGCTGAAGAAGGATTGTGCAGGATTTTGGCCTCTTGGGGCTCTCGGTACCAACACTGGAAACCTATGTCCATATGACACTCACCGACTGTAGCCCAGCAGTGGAGACAAACCGCCCAGAGCGAGGACGATAGGAGAAGTATGATGTGCAACGATACTTCGCGGAGGTGGATTCTCCACCCAATATCATGATGCTGCGTGCGACCCCGACGTTGATGTTCGACGTTGGCTCCCTGGAAGGATGAGAAGAGGAAATGTCGTGGAGGCGTAAATGAACCACTGCACTGGCTTTGCAATTTGTGCCGGACAATGGTTCAGGAATTTTGTGATTATTTGTGGCGTGCGCCAAACCACAACATCAACATGCTGCAAGACTGGGCTCTGGCGGAGAGCTGACCACGCTGGAGTGCAGCACAAGTATGGACCTTGCAGCGCCCTACGGCGACTGTTGCTGGACCCCGCCGCGTGCTGCAGCACCTGCGAGTGAGGCAGGAGCGACATGTCCCAGGCAGTGTTGGCCCAGAGGAATGGACGAATCTGATTGGTGATGATGATGGTGATGATGATGATTATGATGGTGATGATGACGATGTTGATGGCGATGACGATGACGATGTGGATGATGAGGACGGCGACTACACTGGGCCATCGGATGGAGGCGGGGGCGTTCTCCAGATGATGGTGATGATGATGATGACGGTGGTTCTGACGACGATGACGACGACGATGATGATGATAATGATGATGGTGGTGGTGGTGATGGTGGTGGTGGTGATGATTGGTGATGATGGTCGTGGTTCTGCTGGTGATGGCACGGGTAATGATAATAGTGATGGTGTTGATGGTGGTGGTGATTTTGATGATGAGGAGGATTGAGAGGAATATGAACAGGACGAAGATTGATGGTGGTGGCGATGATGGTGATGCTGATTATGATAATGGAGACGGTACTGCTACTGATGCTGTTGTGGTTGATGATGATGAGGATGATGATTCTGATGCTCCTGCTGATGATGATGGTGTAGGTGGTGATTACGGTGGGTAGGGTTATCATGATGCTGATGACGGTGGTGGTGGTGTTGGTGGTTATGGTGGTGGTGGTGGTGATGATGGCGGTGTTGCTGTTGCTGTTGTTGTTGTTGTTGTCGTTGTCGTCGTCGTTGTCGTTGTCGTTGTCGTTGTCGTTGTCGTTGTTGTTGTTGTGGTTGTTGTGGTTGTTGTTGTTGTGGTTGTTGTTGTTGTTGTTGTGGTTGTTGTTGTTGTTGTTGTTGCAGCTGCTGCTGCTGCTGCTGCTGCTGTTGTTGTTGTTGTTGTTGTTGTTGTTGTTGTTGTTGTTGTTGTTGTTGTTGTTGTTGTTGTTGTTGCATACTGTTTTTCCTCAATCGAAGTGTGCCCTCGACGCTCGCACCCTGTTTTTTGTCAGGCAAAGTCTTGATGCTCAAACTGTGCCCTGGGCCCCCGGGTTACAACAACAACGGCTCCCGCTTGAGACTTCGTCACAATTTAGCCAGGACCCCCGCTCCCGCCCGAGACTTCCTTGCATTTTATTCAGGAATCGCGCTCTCGCTAGGGACTTCCTTACAATTTATTCAGGAATCGCTCTCCCAGCGTTCTGGAGTCGCGCTCTCGCTGGAGACTTGCTTGCAATTTACTGAAGAATAGCGCCCTTGCGTTGGAATTTCTTGCAATTTGCTCAAGCGCCGCGCTCTCGACACCCAGGCACCCAGGAGTCGCGCCCGTTGTGGCCCCATGTGCATGCCCTTCGTGGCCCCGCTGTCGCCATTTGTGGCCTCCTTACTGTCCTACGTGGCCCAGTTGCTACCCTCAGTGGCCCCATCGTTGCCTTCTGTGGCCCCGCATTATCTGCCTTTCTTGGCCCCCGCTCGTTCGCGCTCTTCGTGGCCCCATACGCATTCCCTTCGTGCCCCCGCTGTCGCCCTTCGTGGCCTACTTCGTGCCTTTCGTGGCCCTGCTGTCGTTCTCTCTCGCTCTCGCTTTCGCTCGTCGTCGCCGTCGTCGTCGTCGTCGCCGTCGTCGACGTCGTCGTCGTCGTCGTCGGTCGGTCCCCTGTCCGTCCCTCTTGGGGTCGGGTCGACGGTCCGCGGCCGCCCCGCCGATCAGCGCTGCCGCTGGCCAGGCCGACGGTCCGCGGCCGCCCCGCCGCTTGCCGGGGCCCGGCCTGCAGGGAAGAAACGTGTACCCCCCAAAAGGGGTACGATCGAAAACGCAGAGGGCGGGTATCGAGGGTTTGGGAAATACGCGTTATTGGACACTCGAGCAGATAAGGGCGAACAGTCTTAAAATGAATGTTGTTGTTGGTGTTGTGGTTGTTGTTGTTGTTGCTGCTGCTGTTGTTGTTGCTGTTGTTGTTGGTGTTGTTGTTGTCGTTGTTGATGATGGTGGTGGTGATGATGATGCTGATGATGATGCTGCTGCTGCCGCTGGTGATGATGATGACGAGGATGAAGATGAGGATGAGGATGTCTGGGGGGGGAGGAGGAGGCGGAGGAGGAGGAGGAGGAGGAGGAGGAGGAGGAGGAAGAGGAGGACCAGTGGAAACCCAAGGATCATCAACGATGTTGGAATAAAGCCTCTCTCCACGCTCCCTCTCCATAGGCCCCTGCAACGGCTCATTTCCATTGAGGGAACTTCTTCGTTGGAAGACAACAGTTTAAATATCCTGAAGGGTGCCACAACATTGTTCTCGGGATTTCAACGCCACGTATCAACCTGACTGCTGCGTCTTGACGATCCAGAACCGGCCAAAACGCCATTTTTGGGACTTCGGCACAGCGAGTCAACATAACTGCTGTTGCTCCCGCGTAGTCATGAATCCTTCGAAAGCGCCATTTCTGGTACGTTGATCATGGGAATCCGTGAGACGCTTGCAAGTTGTAGAAACGAATGTGCGTGGCGCTATGACGAGAGCCACATTTTCAAAACGACCCGCCCTCAATCCGTGTTGCAAATTTTAAAAACGAATGTACGCGGCGCTAAGGCGAGAACCACATTTTGAAAACGACCCGCCTTCAATCCGTGAAGCTCTTGCAAATTTTTACAACGAATGCGCTCGGCACTGAGGCGAGAACCACATTTTGAAGACCACCCGCCCTCAATCCGTGAAACTCTTGCGAATTTTGCAAACGAAAGTGGGCAGCGCTAAGGCGAGATCCACATTTTGAAAACGACCCGCACTCAATCCGTGAATCTTTTGTGCGGCGCTCAGGGGAGAACAACATTTTGAAAACGAGCCGCCCTCAATCCGTGAAGCTTTGTCAAGCTTTTAAAACGAATGTGCGCGGCGCTAAGGCGGTAGCCACATTTTGAAAACGACCCTCCCTCCATCTGTGAAGCTGTTGTCAATTTTTAATTTCAGAGTCATTAGTGATGAGGAAGTCTCAGGCGAAACGCCCGGCCCGCCCTAAAAACTGGCCTCGGGGTGCGACGGGGAGGAGTTATCTATAAGGAGAAGGAATGGAAGAGGAGGAGGAGGAGGAGGAGGAGGGAAATACGGTGAAAGGCGATAAAGGGGAGAATCGGAAGGGTCGGGAAGTGTCGAAGAATGCGGGGGTAGTCGGGGGGCGACGGGATAAAGAGAGAGGACGCGTCTCTTGGGATGACATCATGCGTTCACCAGGTGGTTTCGCCGCCGGACTGTCCAATCGTCCAGTGGCCTCCGACCCGACCCGAAAACATCGGAGCCAGACAGCTGTAATAATTAGCGATTCCTAATGCCTTTGCGTCCTTGGGTCCTCGGCTTGCGCACAGGACGGGGACGCGGCGGCCTTCAAGCGGCGCCGCTCCACCGAGATCAAGCACGGCCGGATCTCCATGCTGGCCACGATGGGCTACATCACCCCCGAGGTGGTCAGTGGCAATGTCGTGGAGAACAGGCTCAGGGGGGGACGCATCGACCCCCAGTCGCCTATTCATCGCCGATGGGGGCCCGGTGGCCCATCCCGCTCAGGACCGTGCGGGTTCGCCATCGGACGCCTATCGCCGATGTATTGGCGATGCACCGCCGATGCGAGGTCGATGTCTCCCTCCCTGAGCTGGTCCCCCCACGTTACGCTCCCCATCAGAGGTGGCCGGCAAGTTCCCGGGCTACCTCAGCCCGTCCAAGGGCTTGACTTTCGAGGACACGAGATCCTCGCCACGACCATCGATCCGATCCTCCCCTCCCCCTTCTCGCTCGTGGGGCGCGATCGGAGGGTGCCAACCATCGTGAACAAATTGACGTTTTTTCATTTTATTTGTTTTGCCTCTGGGGGCCCTCACCAGGCCTTAGGACCGACAAAAACCGACCTCGGATGAAGAATCTGTCCTTGGGAAGGGGCCCAGACCTCTGGGGGTCCACGCTATGAGCAAACATCGGCGTCGGGCTCTGGGTGTACTGTCACAGCGATCCTGTCCAGGCCAAGAGGGCGTTTTCCACCGATCTGGGCCCAGGATGGGCCTGGCCAGGATGTGGGTAGGCGTGAGGTTGGCGCCCTCGCGCACGAGGGAGGGAGGGGGGGGCGCGGGGGGCGGATACGATTGGTAGGTGAACGTTGGTCTCTTAGAGGAGATCCCCAACGGATTGGCTGCCATCTCCAAGGTGCCCTTCGTGGGATGGCTCCAGATCGTCATTTACTGCTTGTACGTTGAGGCGTCTGGACTTGGCTTCAATTACATCGGCACGGAGAAGACCCCGGGCGACGTGGGCTGGAAGCCGCCGCTGCTTTCTGGCTTCGATGGCGAGGCGAAAACGAAGAAGCTGAATGCGGAGATTGCCAATGGCAGGCTGGCAATGATGGCGATCATCGGGATGTTCTTCCAGGACGGTTTGACGGGCAGCGCGTGGGGTGATTGGGCCCTCTACACTGACTCGCCGCTTCGCGCATTCGAGAGCGAGTTGGGCGTGCAGGCGCCGTTGGGCTTCTGGGACCCCCTGGGGCTCTCAGCCGATGGCGATGTGGCTTCCTTCAAGCGCCGCCGCTCTGTGGAGATCAAGCACGGCAGGATCTGCATGATGGCGACCATGGGCTACATTACGCCGGAGGTTGCTGGAAAGTGGCCTGGTTACATCAGCAAGTCCGAAGGGTTGAAGTTCGCTGACATCCCGAACGGGTTGGCGGCCATCTCCAAGGTGCCCGGACTGGGCTGGCTGCAGATCGCATCTTGGTTTGCATTCTGTGAGATTCAGCAGGGCTACGACGCAGACGCCAAGGCCGAGCCAGGCAATGTGGGGTGGAAGCCGCCTCTGCTTACGTCCGCCGACCCTGAGACACGAAAGCGCAGGCTGAACGCTGAGATCGCAAACGGCCGGCTCGCCATGATGGCCATCATCGGCATGTTCTTCCAAGACGGTCTTACTGGGTCTGCCTGGGGTGACTGGGCCAACTACACGGACTCTCCGCTCCGCGCGTTCGAGAACGAGCTGGGCGTGCAACCGCCAGTGGGCTTCTGGGACCCGGTCGGTTTCACGAAGGATGGCGACGTTGCGGCTTTCAAGCGAAGGCGGGAGACCGAGATCAAGCACGGTCGGGTCTCCATGCTGGCGACGATGGGCTACATCACCCCCGAGGTGGTCGGCAAGTTTCCTGGTGAGCTCTCTCCCAGTCTCGGAGTCAAATACGAGGATCGAGATCCGCCAATTATACACCGACTCTTTTGCTTACGAGGCCCCTCCTGGGTCTGAGGTTTGTGTGTGCATCGGTATCGTTTTACCAATCCCCATTCCCATCCCCACCATCCCCGTCGAGACCCCCACCAAATTACCACCCCAGTTGGGGATACACCCCTCGAAACCCGAAGGAACGACCTATATCCCCATCTAGGGGAGTAAATAGGCCAGTGGGGCCCAGGCCACGCCGCTGGAAATGGGGATCGGTTAAACGATAATTAGTACAGAGCCCACTGTAGTGGGTCAGGAGCGTCCGCACACCAATCCAAGGCCCTTGGGGCCTGGCCAATATCAGTGTCGGTCTATAGACGGCAGCTCACTATCAGGATATCCCGAACGGCCTTGCCGCCCTTTCCAAGGTGCCAGGCCCCGGTTGGCTGCAGATCGTGGCGTATTGCCTCTATTGCGAGTCTGGGCCTTTCGGATACAACGCTGACCCCAACAGGAAGCCTGGTGAGCTTGGCTGGAGGCCGATCGGTTTGTACAGCGCTGACCCCCAGGTGAGGCAGCGCAGGCTGGCTGCTGAGATCGCAAATGGCCGGCTCGCAATGATGGCCATCATCGGCATGTTCTTCCAAGACGGTCTTACTGGGTCTGCCTGGGGTGACTGGGCCAACTACACGGACTCTCCTCTCCGCGCGTTCGAGAGCGAGCTGGGCGTGCAGGCACCAGTGGGCTTCTGGGACCCGGCTGGTCTGAGCAAGGACGGGGACGCGGCGGCCTTCAAGCGGCGCCGCTCCACCGAGATCAAGCACGGCCGGATCTCCATGCTGGCCACGATGGGCTACATCACCCCCGAGGTGGTCAGTGGCAATGTCGTGGAGAACAGGCTCAGGGGGGGACGCATCGACCCCCAGTCGCCTATTCATCGCCGATGGGGGCCCGGTGGCCCATCCCGCTCAAGACCGTGCGGGTTCGCCATCGGACGCCTATCGCCGATGTATTGGCGATGCACCGCCGATGCGAGGTCGATGTCTCCCTCCCTGAGCTGGTCCCCCCACGTTACGCTCCCCATCAGAGGTGGCCGGCAAGTTCCCGGGCTACCTCAGCCCGTCCAAGGGCTTGACTTTCGAGGACACGAGATCCTCGCCACGACCATCGATCCGATCCTCCCCTCCCCCTTCTCGCTCGTGGGGCGCGATCGGAGGGTGCCAACCATCGTGAACAAATTGACGTTTTTTCATTTTATTTGTTTTGCCTCTGGGGGCCCTCACCAGGCCTCAGGACCGACAAAAACCGACCTCGGATGAAGAATCTGTCCTTGGGAAGGGGCCCAGACCTCTGGGGGTCCACGCTATGAGCAAACATCGGCGTCGGGCTCTGGGTGTACTGTCACAGCGATCCTGTCCAGGCCAAGAGGGCGTTTTCCACCGATCTGGGCCCAGGATGGGCCTGGCCAGGATGTGGGTAGGCGTGAGGTTGGCGCCCTCGCGCACGAGGGAGGGAGGGGGGGGCGCGGGGGGCGGATACGATTGGTAGGTGAACGTTGGTCTCTTAGAGGAGATCCCCAACGGATTGGCTGCCATCTCCAAGGTGCCCTTCGTGGGATGGCTCCAGATCGTCATTTACTGCTTGTACGTTGAGGCGTCTGGACTTGGCTTCAATTACATCGGCACGGAGAAGACCCCGGGCGACGTGGGCTGGAAGCCGCCGCTGCTTTCTGGCTTCGATGGCGAGGCGAAAACGAAGAAGCTGAATGCGGAGATTGCCAATGGCAGGCTGGCAATGATGGCGATCATCGGGATGTTCTTCCAGGACGGTTTGACGGGCAGCGCGTGGGGTGATTGGGCCCTCTACACTGACTCGCCGCTTCGCGCATTCGAGAGCGAGTTGGGCGTGCAGGCGCCGTTGGGCTTCTGGGACCCCCTGGGGCTCTCAGCCGATGGCGATGTGGCTTCCTTCAAGCGCCGCCGCTCTGTGGAGATCAAGCACGGCAGGATCTGCATGATGGCGACCATGGGCTACATTACGCCGGAGGTTGCTGGAAAGTGGCCTGGTTACATCAGCAAGTCCGAAGGGTTGAAGTTCGCTGACATCCCGAACGGGTTGGCGGCCATCTCCAAGGTGCCCGGACTGGGCTGGCTGCAGATCGCATCTTGGTTTGCATTCTGTGAGATTCAGCAGGGCTACGACGCAGACGCCAAGGCCGAGCCAGGCAATGTGGGGTGGAAGCCGCCTCTGCTTACGTCCGCCGACCCTGAGACACGAAAGCGCAGGCTGAACGCTGAGATCGCAAACGGCCGGCTCGCCATGATGGCCATCATCGGCATGTTCTTCCAAGACGGTCTCACTGGGTCTGCCTGGGGTGACTGGGCCAACTACACGGACTCTCCGCTCCGCGCGTTCGAGAACGAGCTGGGCGTGCAGGCACCCACAGGCTTCTGGGACCCTGCTGGATTCTGCAAGGACGGGGACGCTGAAGAGTTCACCCGCCGCCGGGTAACTGAAATCAAGCAGGGAGCTTAGCTGCAGGGTCATTACCTTACATTTGACATGTGCGCCAAGGGTGGGTAGTGTCTGTTTCGGGCGTGCTTACATCGTGAGATTCTCAGGCCTTTTCAGGTCGAAACGGCCTTCGTCCTGGATGGCCTTGCCGTTGGCCGATTCTCTCCTCCCCGATGGACCCCCCACCCCCCATTGAAGAAAGACCAAGGTACAGCTGTCACGTAAAGTGGCCCCGCGTCTGGCCTCCCTAGGACATGGTCCTCCGTGGGCTTGGCTCCAGTAGGCAGGCTCAAGTGGAGGGGTTCTCTGGGCGCGTGAACACTCTCTTCACCACCTACCAAACCACCCCAACCCAACCCGAAGGCCTCAATTTGCCCTCCATTTCCAGTGGGGGTGGGTGGGGGAACGTTAAAAAACACATGGAGCCCGTACCCCCCCCCAACCCGAAATTCGGGTCAAATTCGGGTCTTCGGGTTGGGTTGGGGTGGTCTGGTAGGTAGTCATCTCTGCGCATTTTGGGCCTGTGTCCGCTGCTTGAGTGCGGAGGGGAAAAACAGGCCGCCCAAAGACTGAATTGTTGACGCTTTGCGTATCCCAACCAGTGCGTTGCATGCGTGCAACCTGGCAGCGCAGCTTCTCAGCAGTTGCAGCCAGCCCCCCTCCACTCGCCGGCCTGCCCGCCGAGGTGCTGCGTGAGGCTCCGGCCTACCGCTTTAGGTTAATTCGTCTTTGCGCGGCCCGCTCCGACTGGACACGCCGCTGGCGCTCTCGCCTGCGGCCGCTGACAAAAAAGTATCCCAACCAGCCCATCCAAAAACTATCCCCAGGCGAGTTGCCTTGGTCTAGGAAGTGTAGGAGCGTGCCGTGGATCAGCCTGGTCAGACCCAGGGGTCAACCATGAGGCCTTTGCGCATGGAGGATTCTGGGAGGTTTCCAGGGTTCATATTTAGGGACTCTTGGAGCCGTTATTGGATTCCTTGGGGGTCTTGGGGCCCTCTTGAGGGCCTCTGGGGCTCCCTTGGAGCCGTCTTGGAGGACATCGACCAAACAAGGGGGCGGCACTGCTCATGATCTCCCCGTCTCAGCCCGAAACATAGTCTTTTGGCGCTCTCTTGGACGCTGCTCCCCGCGCAGCTCGTATCCTCGAGGTCGAGGCTGAGTGGCTCCGTCTTTCCAAGAGCCGACCCTTCCCGTGAGACCTGGCGACTGGTCTCTTCGGCCCTGCTTCCAGCCAGTTTTTTGGCCTTGCGCGGGATATGTTGATTAGTCAGCTTTCCACGGTCTTTGTCAGTACTTCCCTTTAGATCCGCAGTCCCATGTTCTCCAGTCGCTTCAAGCTTCGTCCCCACCCTGCAGCACCCGCGCGGTGCACGGCGCAGGCCTCCGTCCCTGTCCCTGCCCTGTTCTTGCGAATGGGAGCGCTGCCCACCAGTCGGCGGCCCTCTCTGGCGCGTGTCCTGAGGATCATAGGATGGCCAGCGCGGCCCGGATTCCCTGCTCGTCCCCGCGCTGCTGTTGAGACGCTCGGGCCACTCTCTTTTCTCGCGTGCCAGGCTCCAAGCTTGTCCTCCTGGATGCCACACCGACGCGCGCAGCAAACGACGATGTGCGCGCGAGCCTCCCTGTCGCGCCGCGCCACTGTCACCGTGTCAGCGGGCCTGTTGCGCCTGGACTCTTCCTTCCTTGACGTATGCACGTCGAGGCATTCAGCCAGACTGCCAACCCCACAAGAAGGGCTTGCTTGGGACGGTCGTTGGCCACGAATGGGTCCTTGGCGTCGTCCACTTCCCCAGCTGGTCGTCCGCGGCCCTCCTCTGCAGCCCTGTGCCCCACCAGCCTGAAGCCCAGGCCAGCCTGAAGCCCAGATCAGCCTGAAGCCCTGGCCAGCGTGGCCAGTCTCCGATCCCTGGCACGACCGCCGCCGTGGCTCCGACTCCACCGCCTGCCGCAGCGGGTCTTGTGACGATCCCGTCGCGTTTCGTCCCGTCTCTGCACACAGTCGTCCCACCGACGCCGCTAATCTCGAGGCCGCCCATATCATTGATGTTGACGCCCGGCTTGAGGCGTGACATGACCGCACTCTCCCGCCAGCCTTCTGTGCGTCGGCATGCCCGCGAAGCCACGTGCCCTCTCCGCGACGCTCCCGCGCGCGGTCTCGAGGGATCTGGTCGTCCCCATCGTCCCAGGCCTCTCAGGAAGGTGGGAGCGGGGTCCCAGCGCCCCTCCCGACCACACTTTTAATAGCGCTGCGCACCCCAGCGGCGGCTCCCGTGAAAAGCTTGTGCTGGGGCGCTGGGTGGCCAGCGTGACCCCGCGTGGACCTCTCGCGCCCCCCGCTCACTCGCGGGGCCCCGCCCCCGCGGCCAGCCCGAGCGCACCACCTGCCGCCCGTGCCGCGAGTCGGCTCGCCCCGCTCGTCGTGCAGCTGAACGCTGGGCCCAGCGTGCAAGACGGGCGAGCGCACCCACAGCGCAGCCCTCGCCCACAGCGCCCTCCCCTCCCGCCGCTGCGCCGTCGGGCGAGCGCACCCGCGGTGAAGCCCTCGCTCTTGCACTGCGCCGCCCCCGCCGCCGGCCGCTGCCTAGCGGCTGGGCCCGCGCCGCCGCCCGACTTCTCGCCTCCTCGCCACTCGGCTTCGCTGTGTCCCAGGCGCTTCGCGTCCACCGCCAGCCCATTCCAATTCTCGCCAGACGAGCCGAGGATAGCCCGTCAAGGGGGAGGGAGACGTGCCGAATGCAGTGAAGGACGGCCCCGTAGTTGTGTGTTCGTACCCTCTCCCACGCTTTATGCTTCTCCGCTCTGTTCTTCGCTCGACTTCACTGTATAGTGGGCTCCCGCCATTCTTGCCTCCTCGTTTGTGCTTGGGGGCAGCCCCAGCCTTATGGCCCGACCCCCCGTTGTCCTGCGGGGCGGTGGGGATGAATCGGCGGCGAGCCTGGGGGGAAGTGAGAAGGGGCGGGCCCTCTCAGAAGGTTAGGAAGTCCCCCGTCCTTTGAGAATTCCCGCCGCCTTCTGACAAGGCCTCTTCTTTCTCACTTCCCCCCCCTCGCTCGCCGCCGAGAGAGATCGCCCCTGTCCTCGCAGGGGCCCAGGCGCGTCAGGCTGCCCTCTGCATCTCTGCCGCCATCAATTTCGTGTCATTTGGCGCTCGGGTGGAATTGCGCCACCCCCCGCCGATCCCTCCCCCTCACGCCGCGATCATCGCGCCCTCCTCCTTTTCCTCCTCCTCCGCCTCCTTTTCCTCCTCCTCCTTCTTTTCCTCCTCCTCCTCCTCCTCTTCCTCCTTCCTCCTTCCTCCTCCTCGGGTTGGCCACAGCTTTCTTGGGCGTCCTGCGGGCCGTCCTCGCCGCCTGGCCCGTGAATGAGGCCGCGCGCCCATTTCCGGCGGCGCGCCGCAGCGGTGTCCGCGATGCCACTACAGCGCACCCTGCTGGTTGGCGTCTTGTTTTTTGCAGTCACGGCCGCCACGCCGCCGCAGTCCGTCTCGGCGGCTAGCCTGGGGGGGAGTGAGAAGGAGAAGGCCTTCTCAGAGGGCTCGGAAGTCTCCTGGCCCATGAGAAGTTTTCCCAGCCTTTTCGAAGACGCAGAACACTTCTCGGAAGGCGCGAGGGCTTCGGAGACGCCCCGCCCCCTTCTGAGAGGGTCTTCTCCTCCTCGCTTCCCCCCTCGCTCGCCGCCGACTGTCGGTGGCCCGCTGTGCCGCGGGTATCGCCCCGCCCCGTCCGGTGCGCGCCTCCAGCGGCCACGTGCTTTGCCCTTCGGGGAAGGGCAGGGAGTGCGGCATGCCTGGCGGGGCCCGTGCCCTTCGGGGCAGCGCCCGCCGGCCGCGTGCGGCCTCCCTCCGCCCGCCCTCCGCCCTCCGCCCTCCGCCCTCCGCCCTCCGCCCGCCCTCCGCCCTCCGCCCTCCGCCCGCCCTCCGCCCTCCGTTCTCCGCCCTCCCGCCCTCCGCCCGCCCTCCGCCCTCCCGCCCTCCCTCCGCCCGCCCTCCGCCCTCCGCCCTCCGCCCTCCCGCCCTCCGCCCTCCGCCCTCCATTCCTTTCCCTTCTACTCAACGTCTCCCTGTCGAGCCCCGAGGCCAGCTTTCAGGGCGGGCCGGGCGTTTCGCCCGAGACTTCCTCACCACTTGTGACCCTGAAGCTTAAAACATGCAACAGTTTCACAGATGGAGGGCGGACGGTTTTCATCATGTGGCTCCCGCCTTAGCGCCGCGCGCATTCGTTCAACACATTTGCAAGTGTTTCACGGATTGAGGATCACCAGTTTTGAAGATGTGGCTCTCGCCTTAGCGCCGCGCACATTCGTTCTAAACAATTGCGAGAGCTTCACGGATTGAGGACGCCCGTTTTCGAAACGTGGCTCTTGCTCTAACAATTTCCAGGAGTTTCACGGATCGAGGGAGGTTCCTTTTCAAAATGTGGTTCTCGCCCTAGCGCCGCGCACATCGTTCATAAAACATTGCAAGAGTTTCACGGATTCCTGGAATCAACATACCAGAAATGGTGCTTCGGAAGGATTCATGATTTTGCGGGCGCAACAATTACGTTGATTCGCGGTGTTGATATCCCAAGAATGGTGTTCTGGCACGATCCATTATCGTCAAGCCGCAACAGACAGGTTGATCCGTGGCGTTGGCACGAGAACAACGTTTTGGCATGCTTCCAGGTCTTCAAACGGTTGTCTTCCAACGAGGCAGATCCCTCAATGGAAATGAACCGTTGTAGGGACCTATGAAGAGGGAGCTTGGAGGGAGGGTGTACTCCAACATTGTTGGCGGCTCTTGGGTTTACACTGGTCCTCCTCCTCCTCCTTCTCCTCCTCCTCCTCCCACCCTTCCCTTCCTACCCTTTCCCCCTCCATCGTGATGCCGCATGCGTTACCATCTCGCTTGGGGCCCAGCAGGGGCTCTGGTCTTGTGGCTGTTCCTCGGATCCAGGTCGGGGAACCTATTCGTGGCCAGGGCGCGACGTGGCCAGAAGCGCCCCTTCGTTCCTGAGTCATCCCTCCTCCTGGTAGCATGATTCATGTGCGGAGGACAAGGCGAGGGGGCCACTGGCGGGAGCGGGCGCCTATGTGCCAATAGCGCTGCATACCGCGGGCGGCAGCAGTGACGACGCCGGTGCCCTCCCCCACCCTCCCTCCCTCTCTCCCCTCCTCGGTTCGCTCTGGGGCAATCTGCCCACTGGAGCAGGAGGCACGTTTCTTGCCCGAGTCCAGCTCGAATCTCCCTCTCTCCCCCCTTCCTCTTCTCCTCTCCGCGCGGGCCGCGCTCCACCTCCTTCTCTCCGCGGTTCGGGGCCGTGCCAGCTCACCCCGTTCCGCCTCCGCGCACCCCCCTGCCGAGGCACGGCCGGGTCTCCATGATCGCGTGCATCGGGTACATCGTGCCCGAGTATTTCAAGTTCCCGGGATACTGCTCACCCAAAGATGGCGTCGCCTTCGCGGACATCCCGAACGGTTTGGCCGCGTTCGGCAAGGTCCCCTGTCCCCCTCGGCCCCCCCCCCCTCCCCCCCCCTCTCCCGATCCCTCGTCCTCCTCGCCCTGTTCTTCCTCGCCCCCTCTCCACTCTTCGTCCTACATTTCTTTATCGCCCTCCCTCTTTCGCGTTCTCCTGTTCCCCCTCCCCCCGCCCCCTCCTCATCGTCCTCCCCCCCGTTCTGTGCTCCCTCTCTTCCTTCTCGTTCCCATCCCTCTCTCCTCTTCGCTCTTCTCTGCCCTGCTCCTCCCGATGCTCCTCGCTCGCCCTCGCCCTCGCCCTCGCCCTTGCTGAGAGGTGCCTGCCGCGGGCTGGCTTCAGATGTTCCTGTTCGCGGGCTTGATCGACTTTGGATACCTCCAGTACGACCCCAGCAGGGGCCCAGGCGACTACAAGAACGCAGGGGTCTTTGGCGTCCTCAACGGCGGTTCGTGGGGCCCGATGCAGAATGCAGAGGCGAGGAAGACGAAGCTGAACTCTGAGATTGCGAACGGTCGCCTTGCCATGATGGCCATCATCGGCATGTTCTTCCAGGACGGCCTTACTGGGTCCGCCTGGGGCGACTGGGCGCTCTACGAAGCCTCTCCCCTGCGCGCTTTCGAGAGTGAGCTGGGCGTGCAGGCACCAACCGGCTTCTGGGACCCTCTGGGCTACACGAACGATGGCAGCGTGGAGAACTTCCAGCGCCGCCGCTCTACAGAGATCAAGCACGGGCGTGTTGCCATGTACGCGACCATGGGCTACATCTTCCCCGAGTACGTCAGGTCGTGCCTCCTCTCTCCTCTCCATCCCCCCATCCCTTCTCAAGCTCATTTCCTGCGGCCACCTCTGAACACATCTGGAAACATGTCGGAGACCTTCGAAAACGCATGGAAATATTGTAGAATCCCTCCGAACCTTGTGAATGGTTTCCGCACACATCTGCCTCCTCTTCCCCTTTCCCTTCCACTTCTTCTCCCCCTCCCCCTCCCCCTCACACTCCACCAGAGGTATCGGTAGGGCAGGCACGGGGACTTCGCCTGAGACTTTCTTGTTCATGACCCCGAGGCTGTACATTTCCAACAGTTGCACGGATGGCGAGGGGCTTTCACCGTGTGGACCTCGCTTTAGCGCCGCGCGCATTCGTTTTAAACACATGCAGCAGCAACACGGATAGAGGGTGATTCTTTTTTCAGCATGTGGCTATTGTCTTAGCACCGCGCACATTCGTCTAAAACTTCCAACACTTGCACGGATGGAGGATGAGCGGATGGGCGTAGTTTTCACAACGGGTTTCCTGAGCTCCGCGTACATGCGTCTTAAAAACTTCAGTAGCTACACGGACGCAGGGAGAACCTTCGCTCTCTCTCCCTCTCTCGATTTTTTCTCCTTCTATTCCTCCTCCTCTTCCTCCCAGCCCTCGCTGGCTGCCCATATCCGGGGAGACCTCGTGCAGACCGCCCGCGAGCGCGCGCCTCGTCGCCCAACTTAGATTCTGCAAGCTTGCGTCACATCCGCTGAGCCGTTCGACTTTTCCAGGCGCATCAGGAGATGCGCGCTCGTCAGTTCTGGGACAGAGTGGAGAAGCGAGCGGGGGTGGGGGGAGCGATGCTGGAGGGGGTGGGAGGCTGGCGGCGCTGCGTGATGTGGGAGGGGGCGGGGGCTAGTGTTGGCATGTAACCATGAGCATGTACGCTTCCCCCTGCACCTTTTCCTGTCCCCCCCCTCTTTCTCCCCAGTCCCTCCGCTCCACCTCTTCCTCTCGTTCCTCCATCCCTGCGTCCCCTTCTCCCTTCTTGGGCCTTCATTTGCCAGGCTTCCAGGGGATGAGGAGCAGTAGGAGGAGCAGAGCAAACACGAGAAGGGATGAGGAGGAGGGAGGGAGGAAAGGGGGGGGAGTGGGGAGAGGAGGATGGACGAGTGGTAGGGGGTTGTTGGGGTGAGGGGAGAGGACGAGAAGGAGGCAGGAGGAGGCGGAGGATGTATGAGGGGGGGGAAAGCGGGGACGACGCCGAGGATAACGACGACGTGCTCCTCATTCTTGTCCTCGTCCTCCATTCTCCTTCGGGGTCCTTCCATAGACCTCGTCGTCCGTCTCCTCACCCTAGCTCCCTTACCCTCGTCGCCCTTCTCGTCGGTTCTGTTAGAGGTACTCTGGGGAAATGACGCGGGTTTGAAAGACAGGGAGGCGAAATTCGTGCCTTGCGGGCGGTGCCGACAGATGCTGCTGGAAGAAACGGCCACGAAGTAGGAGTTTTGGGGCAGTATGGGCCGGCGTTGTGTAAAGAATGCGCTGGGAAGTGAAGAACGCCAACGAAGAACGGTGCGAGACGTGCAAACCATTGGTAACCGAAGCGGAGGGTGACGGTATCGGTGGACACTGCGAGGAAACGGGCGACGCGCTGGAGCCGAGCACTATTTGGAGCACGTTTTGCGCAAAGTGCAAAGCGAAGCGAAGCCTGCGCGTTGGCAACGCGAAGCGAAACGTGAGTGCAGGCAAAGAGCGGTGTTCGAGCGGTATGTGCGTGGCTCTTTTCGAAGGGAATGTGGATCTGTCGGCTGCGCAACAAAACACAACGCACCTTGGGAGTTGGAGCGGTAGAACGCGGTAGTGCGAGCGAGCGCGAGAAAACACATCGCGCGCAAAAAACGGAGGCGGAAGCGAAACCGCTGACGTGTTGTGCACCATGGGGGGATTATCTGGGCGTGGAGCGTTTGACCGCGGAACACGTGCAACATCATCGGGGGAAGACAGGCGAGAGAGTGGTATGTGCAAATTGTGCCAAGCGGGGCGTCACCGCGAAGGGTGCGACGGATGCGGCGAAACGGTTGGAGCGAGGGTTGACGTGTGCGGCGTGCGACGAGGCATTCCCGCGGCAGGGTCACATGAGCAGCGCGCAGGGGGTGAAACATCTCACGAAGGGAACGGACGTGGCGTGCGCAGACTGCGTGGGCTTCGGGCTTACGTCGCACACTTGGCAAGCGCATGAGTGTTCGGGCACCTGCTGGAGGAAACTCCCGAAATCCGTGTTCGCGGGGGGGCCGCATTGTGTGCGTCCCCACGCAAAGGGCTATCTGAAGTGCAAGTCGTGCGCAGGATGCCCGTTGAATTAAACATCTGGGACATGGAAGCGGCCATTGTGTCGTGCGGGCAGAACGCGAAAGCTGCGCGCGAGAACGCGAATCAGAAAGATCATGCCGTTCAGGACGAGGAGGAACGAACAAGAGGAGGAGGAGGAGGAGGAGGAGGCGGAGGATGAGGAGGAGTAGGAGGAGGAGGGATGGGGAAACATGGGAAATACGTATTGGTATGGCTCTGTCCACGTTTCGGCAGAACAACAGCACTCCGAAACAGCGTGGTCAAGAGCAACGCGTGCCCGGGGGAGAGCGTAATGAAAGAAGGATGTTTGTTTGGAATCCCAGAGGACGAGGTAGACGGTGAGAAATACATGGCGATGTGTTTTTTCCCAGTTAGGTTTGTTGAGTGTGGACAGCCATGGTACGTGTGTTACAATAACTCCATGTTGGGCCTCCTGCGAGGGTCTTTTCGCCCCTCCTTGGGGTTCTTTCGGCCTCATGGGGGCGTCCTGACATCTCTTTTGGGGCCTGCGGAGTCCTCTTGGGGGACTTGTGGGGGCGGTTTTTTGGGGCTTCTTGGAGGCCCTCTCGGGGGTTTCTTGGAGCCTCGTGGGGCCTTCTTGCGACGAAGAGCTCGAAATGTCTGTTCGTGTTCCCCCTCTGGGGCCCCTCTTGGGGTATTTGTGGGGCTCTTTCGGGCAGTCTAGAGGGCTTCCTGGGCCGTCTTGAGGCCACGTGCGCCGTCAGGGGTTGTTTTCGGAGGCCTCTTGGGGGCGTCGTGGGGCGTTTAGCGAGCCCCGTGGGCCGCGTTGGAGCGATATCGACAATCGTTGGAATCGTTTTGGGCGCGTGGCGACCTCGGTGGCGTCCCTTTCATGCTTTGTTTGGCCGTTTTGCATAATTTCTGCAATTTCGAGGCAATTTTGAGCTGTCTTGGACAGACGTGGGACCATCTTGGGCACGTGAAAACCGTATGTGGGCATTTTGGGGCCGTCTGGGACGTTTTGGGGAGCTGGGGGCCGCCTTGGAACCCCCAAAGCCCCCACTGGCGAGTTCGGCCGGGGGTCGGGCCGGGCCTGGGGGCGAGATCGCATTTCTGGTTTGAGGTTTTTTGGGCCAGGATTAAATGGGGGAGAGTCGTCTCACACGCGTGGAGACCCACAACGGGTCGGCGGATAGCATTTCCCATGTCGACGCCACGCGATGACGCCATGCTGAACAGGTGCCCGCACTCTCGCCCTTCATCCATGATATTGCCCCATGTCTTCCTTCAGCTTTCTTATGGCTGTAGTGGAATCGAATATCTTAGGGCTTTCTTGGTCGCCTTGGAGCCGTCAGAGGCCGTGTTGAAACCGTAAGAGGAGCCCAGAGAGGGCTAGTCTCCCCTCATGAATTCACCTGGGGGTCGTGCTGGGCCAGGGGGGGTCAAACGCGCAGTTTTTGGCCATTGGGGGGATGATGTGGGGAAAGTCACTCACACGCCTGGAGACCCACACAGGGTCGGCGGATTTCGGGGTTTCAGTTCTCGTTGCAGAGGGCAAGACGATTGGCCTAGTAGTCTAGTGGTTCTTTTTCTGCCTTCCATCCTCTTCTCGTTGCCTCGCCCCCCCCCTGCCGTTTTTGTCCTGTGCGGTGGCGTGGCGGGCGGGGTCTCTTGGTCGTGCTCCTGCCGCCGCGACCCCCCTCCTGGGCTCGTGTGCTCCTTCCTCTTCTTCCTCTTCTTCCTCTTCCTCCTCATTCTCCTCTCTCCTCCTCCTCCTCCTCCTCCTCCTCCTCCTCCTCCTCCTCCTCCTCCTCCTCCTCCTCCTCCTCCTCCCTTTCCTTCCTCTTCTATCCCCCTCGTTTCTCGTCGTCGTCGTCGTCGTCGTTGACCTCCTCCTCCCTCCTCTCCTCCTCCTCCTCCTCCTCCTCCTCCTCCTCCTCCTCCTCCTCCTCCTCCTTCCTCCTCCTCCTTCCTCCCTCCTCCTCCTCCTTCCTCCTCCCTCCTCCTCCTCCTCCTCCTCCTCCCTCCTCCTCCTCCTCCTCCTCCTCCTCCTCCTCCTCCTCCTCCTCCTCCTCCTCCTCCTCCTCCTCCTCCTCCTCCTCCTCCTCCTCCTCCTGCTCCTCCCCTCCTCCTCCTCTCCTCTCCTCCTCCTCCTTCTCTCCTCCTCCTACTCCTCCGCCCCTCCTCCTCCTCCTCCTCCTCCTCCTCCTCCTCCGCCCTCCTCCTCCTCCTCCTCTCCTCCTCCCTCCTCCTCTCCTCCCTCCTCCTCCTCCTCCTCCTCCTCCTCCTCCTCCTCCTCCTCCTCCTCCTCCTCCTCCTCCTCCTCCATCCTCCCCGTCCTCACCCCCGCCGCGCGGCGTGGGAGCCGGGAGGTTCCCAGGCCTGCTGGCCCCCTCGTCCGGCCTGAAGTTCGCCGACGTGCCCAACGGACTGGCTGCTCTCTCCAAGGCCGCACGCCGGGGAGGAGAGCCATGAAGCTGAGGTAGCTGATGTCGAGCAGTCCAGGGTAAACGCTAAGGGGGGCAAGCTACGAGTGTTTTTCCCGACCATCCTGTGGTGTTGGGTCATCGTTTTGACGAGACAGCGCCCCGCGTTCCTTCCTCTCCTCCTCCTCCTCCTCCTCCTCCTCCTCCTTCTCCTCCTCCTCCTCCTCCTCCTCCTCCTCCTCCTCCTCCTCCCCCTCCTCCCTCCTCCCCCTCCTTGCCTCTGCCCTCTGCATCCTCTCCTCCTCCTCGTCCTCCTCCGCCTCCTTGCCTCTGCCATCCGCGTGTCCATTTCGGCACACCCCTCACACGGTTCGTGGCCCCATAGGGAGCTCCACCCAAGGCCCCAGTGGCCGCGTCTGCATGCGCCCTTCCCGCCCACCGCATGTCCATTCTGGCACACACACAAACACACACACACACACACACACACACACACACACCCTCACACGTTTCGTGGCCCCATGGGGAGCTCCACCGAAGGCCCCAGTGGCCGCGGCCGCATGCGCCCTCCCCGCCCGCCGCATGCCCCTTTCGGCACACCCCTTACACGGTTCGTGGTCCCATAGGGAGCTCTGCCGAGGGCCCCAGTGGCCGCGTCCGCATGCGCCCTCCCCGCCCACCGCATGCCCTTTTTGGCACACCCCTCACACGTTTCGTGGCCCCATAAGGATTTCCACCGAAGGCCCCAATGACAGGGTCCACATGCGGCTCCCCGCCCGCCGCACGTCCATTTCGGCACACCCCTTACACGGTTCGCGGCACCATAGGGAGCTCCACCGAAGGCCCCAGTGGCACAGTCCACATGCGTCCTTCCCGCCCACCGCACGTCCATTCCGGCACCGGTTTGTAGCCCCATGGGGAGCTCCACCGAAGGCCCCAGTGGCCGCGTCCACATGCGCCCTCCCCGCCCACCGCATTCCCATTTCGGCATACCCCTCACACGATTCGTGGCCACATGGCATGGGGAGCTCCACCGAAGGCCCCAGTGGCACAGTCCACATGCGTCCTTCCCGCCCACTGCATGCCCATTTCGGCACACCCCTCACACGATTCGTGGCCACATGGCATGGGGAGCTCCACCGAAGGCCTCCACCGAAGGCCCCAGTGGCACAGTCCACATGCGTCCTTCCCGCCCACTGCATGCCCATTTCGGCACACCCCTCACACGATTCGTGGCCACATGGCATGGGGAGCTTCACCGAAGGCCCCAGTGGCACAGTCCACATGCGTCCTTCCCGCCCACTGCATGCCCATTTCGGCACACCCCTCACACGATTCGTGGCCACATGGCATGGGGAGCTCCACCGAAGGCCCCAGTGGCACAGTCCACATGCGTCCTTCCCGCCCACTGCATGCCCATTTCGGCACACCCCTCACACGATTCGTGGCCACATGGCGGGGAGCTCCACCGAAGGCCCCAGTGGCACAGTCCACATGCGTCCTTCCCGCCCACTGCCTGCCCACCGGCACACCCCTCACACGATTCGTGGCCACACGGCATGGGGAGCTCCACCGAAGGCCTCAGTGGCACAGACATGCGTCCTTCCCGCCCACCGCATGCCCATTTCGGCACACCCCTCACATGTTTCGTGGCCCCCATGGGGAGCTCCACCGCAGGCTCCAGTGGCCTCGTCCGAGTGCGCACTCCCCGCCAACCGCACGCCCATTTCGGCACACGGTTCGCGGCCCCATGGGGAGCTCCACCAACGGCCCCAGTGGTACAGCCCACATGCGCCCTCCCGGCCCACCGCACGTCCATTTCGGCACACCCCTCACACGGCTCGTGGCCCCATAGGGAGCCCCGCCGAAGGCCCCAGTGGCCGTGTCTGCATGCGCCCTCCCCGCCCACCGCATAACCATTTCGGCACATCCCTCACATGTTTCGTGGCCCTAGGTAGCTCCACCGAAGGCCCCAGTGGCCTCGTCCGCATGCGCCCTCCCCGCCCACCGCACGTCCATTTCGGCACACCCCTCACACGGTTCGCGGCCCCATGGGGAGCTCCACCAACGGCCCCAGTGGCACAGTCCACATGCGTCCTCCCCGCCCACCGCATGTCCATTTCAGCACACCCCTCACACGTTTCGTGGCCCCATAGGGAGCTCCACCGACGGCCCCAGTGGCCTCGTCCGCATGCGCCCTCCCCGCCCGCCGCATGCCCATTTCGGCACACCCCTTACACGGTTCGTGGCCCCAGAGGTGTCTCCACCGAAGGCCCCAGTGGCCGCGTCCGCATGCGCATTCCCCGCCTTTTGCATGCCCATGTTGGCACACCCCTCACACGTTTCTTGGCCCCATGCGGAGCTCCACCAAAGGCCCCGATGACAGTGTCCACATGCTGCTCCCAGCCCGCCGCACGTCCATTTCGGCACTCCCTTCAAACGGTTCGTGGCCCCATATAAAGCTCCAATCAAGGCCCCAGTGGCCGCGTCCGCATGCGTCTTCTCCGCCCACCGCACGTCCATTTCGGCACACCCCTCACACGGTTCGCGGCCCCAGAAGGAGCTCCACCGAAGGCCACAGTAGCACAGTCCACATGCTTCCTCCCCGCCCACCGCAAGTCCATTCCGGCACCCCATGGGGAGCTAGCTCCACCGAAGGCCCCAGTGGCACAGTCCACATGCGTCCTCCCCGCCCACCGCATTCCCATTTTGGCATACCCCTCACACGTTTCGTGGCCATGGGGAGCTTCTCCGAAGGCCCCAGTGGCCGCGTCCGCATGCGCCCTCCCCGCCCACCGCATGCCCATTTCGGCACACTCCTCACACGGTTCGTGGCCCCACAGGGAGCCCCGCCGAAGGCCCATAGTGAGCTCCACCGATGGCTCCAGTCGCTGCGTCCACATGCCACCCAGCTGCTCATTTCAGCACACCCCTTACACCCCCTCACCGAAGGCCCCAGAGGCAGGGCCCGCATGCCGCCACCTCGCCTTTTCGGCACACCCCTCATAGTTTTCATGGCCTTATAGGAAGCTCCACCGAAGGCCCCAGTGTCATGGCCCGCATGCCGCCACCTCGTCATTTCGGCACACCCCTCACACGTTTCGTAGCCCCATAGGGAGCTCCACCGACGACCCCAGTGGCAGGGCCCGCATGCCGCCACCTCGCCATTTCGGCAACACCCCTCACACGGTTCGTAGCCCCGTGGGGAGCTCCACCGAAGGTCCCAGTGGCAGGGCCCGCATGCCAACACCTTGCAATTTCGGCGCACCCGTCACACGTTTCGTGGCCCCATGGGGAGCTCCACTGAAGCCCCAGTGGAAAAGGCCGCCTGCCGCCGACGGGCCACTCTGGCACACCCCTCAAGCGCTTCGTGGCCGCACTGGAGGATTCACCGAAAGTGGCACTCACAACTGCGGTACGTATCACTGCTTATGGTTGGGTCCTTCGCCAGGCTAACAGGTTTGCGCACGTTTTCGACGGTGCCCGTCGATTTTCTCGTCTCGGTATGCTCTCCAGCGGCTGCGCCTCGCCAGGACGGTTCGGGGTTACCTGGATCGATTTATGATTCGAAAAATGAGAGGCCACGGCGGGGGTCTAGGCTCAGGGGGATGCGTCGACACCCACTTACCCACTGATCGCCGAGAGGGGCCCGATAGCCCACCCCTCCCAGGACCGAGTAGTTTCGCTATCGAGGGCCTATCGCCGATCTATCCGCCCTTCAAGCATGTATCCGCCCTTCAAGCATGCCCAGGACGGCTACTAATAGTTCCAGAGCGTGCCCGAGTGCTCTGGAACGGGCGCGACGCCCGGTGCATCCTTCAGGCACGCCAGCTCTCAAAGATTCCTGATTTGCCTTTGGCCGATCTTGTTTTCTTCCCAGTTGCTGTCGTCTTAGTGTCGGGGGTGGACAGCAACAGAGGAGAGTGACGCCGCAGGAGCCCCAGGGGGACATGGAATCTGATGATGATGATGATGATGATGATGATGATGATGATGATGATGATGATGATGATGATGATGATGATTGAGATGATGATGATGAGAAGGAGGAGGAAATGTGGAGGGGGGTCCAGCTGAAAGGGGGTGGTGCAATATATTTAGTGCAATAGATTTGTGGGGTTGCAATAGATTTCGGGGGTGCAACACATTCCAGGGCGCAAATGTATTGCTGGAATTTCGCGCGCAAAACATTAGCTGCAATACAATGCAATCCACTTCTCTGGCGCGAGACGTTTGCAATACTATTGCCCCACATCTATTGCACGACCCCCTTTCAGCTTGACTCCCTTTTGGGTCATTCAAAGAGGAAGAGGATGATGATGATGATGATGATGATGATGATGATGATGATGATGATGGTGATGGTGATGGTGATGGTGATGGTGATGATGGTGATGTTGATGATGATGATGATAAATGATGCTGGTGATTCTTATGATCATGATATTGATGATGCGGGTGATGATGACGACGATGATGATGACGATGATGTTGATGATGACGACGATGATGATGACGATGATGATGGAGTGATTCTGCAAATACGGAATGCGATGACGATGATGCTGATGACGAAGATGATGCTTATGAGGATGATGATGCTGATGCTGATTCTGCTGCTGCTGATGATGATGATGATGATGATGATGATGATGATGACGATGGAGATGATGAATGCTGATGAGGCTGATGCTGCTGCTGCTGAAGATGCTGACGATGATGCTGCTGCTGATGATGATGGTGATGCTGAGGCTGATGATGCTGACGATGGTGCTGATGATGATGCTACTGTCGATGATGACGATGATGCTGATGCTGATGCTGATGCTGATGACGACGATGATGCTGCTGATGATGAAGATGAAGATGTTGATGATGATGATGATGGTGGTGATGATGATGATGATGATGTTGACGGTGATGCAAATGAGGAGTGTGATGACGATGATGATGACGAAGATGATGAGGATGATGATGCTGATGATGATGATGCCGCTGATGATGATGATGATGATGATGATGATGATGATGATGATGATTCAGATGATGATTCAGATGATTATGATGATGATGATGAGGATGATGAAGATACTGCTGCTGCTGATGATGATGCTTATGAGGATGCTGAAGGCGATGTTGATGATCAGGATGACGAGGATGATGATGCTGATGATGATGCTGATGATGAGGATGATGGTGAGAATGCGGGCGAGAATTCTGATGATGATGACTACGATGACCACGAGGCTGATGATGCTGGCGATGTTGGCGATGCTTCTGATGATGCTGATGATGATGCTGATGATGCTGATGCTGACGCCGACGATGCTGATGATGATGATGCAGACGATGGTGATGCTGTTGATGATGCTGCTGTTGATGACAATGATGATGATGATGATGATGATGATGATGATGATGATGCGACTGCTGATGATTGTGATGCTGATGATGATGTTGATGCCGATGGTGATGTTCATGTTGATGATTATGGGTCTGATGATGATGCTGATGCTCATGATGCTGCTGCTGATGCTGATGCTGATGCTGCTGATGCTGGCGACGCTGCTGCTGATGATGATGTTGCTGCTGATGATGATGATGAGGCTGATGCTGATGCTGATGATGATGCTGCTGCTGATGATGGTGCTGATGATGCTGCTGATGATGCTGATGCTGATGCTGATGCTAATGATGCTGATGAGGGTCATGATGCTGCTGATGATGATGACGCTAATGCTGCTGATGATGATGATGCTGTTGCTGCTGCTGCTGATGATGATGATGCTGATGGTGTTTGCGATGCTGGTGATGAGGATGATGATGATGGTGATGCTGATGCCGATGATGCTGATGCTGATGGTGATGATGAGGATGCTGCTGATGATGTTGATGCTGACGCTGCTGGTGCTGATGCTGATGCTGGTGCTGCAGCTGCCGATGATGATGCTGATGATGGTAATGATGATGTTGCTGATGCTGCAAATGCTGTTGATGATGATGATGCGCTATGAGGACGCGGATGGCGATGCCAAGGATGACAATGATCATGATGATGTTGATGCTGATAATGCTGATGATGATGTTGATGCTGATGCTACTGCCGATGAGGATGATGATGGTGATTATGATGATGCGGATGCTGCTAATGATGATGATGATGCTGATGATGGGGCTGATGATGATTATGATGATGATGATCATGATGATGATCATGCTACTGACGTTGATGCTGATGATGTTCATGATGATGAAGCACTTGCTGAATCGGCTGATGCTGATCCTGCTGCTGATGATGATGATGCTGATGACGATGACGATGCTGATGCGGCTGATGATGATGGTGATGCAGAGACTGATGATGTTGCTGCTGATGATGGTTCTGATGATGATGCTGATGATTCTGCTGCTGATGACGATGATGATGGTGATGATGCTGACGCTGATGATGCTGGTGATGACGGTGATGGTGACGATGCTGATGCTGATGCTGCTGCTGATGATGCTGCTGGTGATGATGCTGATGCTGATGATGCTGATGATGATGATGATGATGATGATGATGATGGTGATGGTGATGGTGATGGTGCTGATGCTGATGAGGCTGCTGCTGGTGATGCTGATGACGATGATGCTGCTGATGATGATGATGATGCTACTGATGCTGATGCTGATGCTTATGATGATGGCGAGGCTGAGGCTGATGCTGATGCTGATGCTGATGCTGATGTTGATGCTGCGGATGCTGATGGCGATGATGATGGTGATGCTGATGAATGTTGATGATGGTGGTGGTGGTGATGCTGCTGATGCTGATGCTGATGATGATGCTGCTGATGATGATATTGACGATGATGATGCTCATGATGATGATCATGATTATGATGCTGATTATGAAGATGATGATGCTGATGATGATGCTGATGCTGATGATGATGGTGATGACAATGATGCTGATGATGATGGTGATGGTGGTGATGATGATGATGCTGCGGACGATGATGATGCTGATGATGCTGATGATGCTGCTGATGATGATGCGGATGATTGTGATGCTGCTGGTCAGGATACTGATGATGATGACGATGATGATGAATCCGATGATGCTGATGCTGTCCATGATGATGATGACGATGCTGATGCTGAGGATGATGATGATGGTGGTGATGATGATGATGCTGATGCTGCTGCTGATGATGCTGATGATGATGATGGCGGTGGTGGTGATGCTGCTGCTGATGATGATGCTAATGATGATGATGATGATGATGATGATGATGATGATGATGATGATGATGATGATGATGATGATGATGATGCTGATGGTGGTGATGATGCTGCTGCTGCTGCTAATGATGTTTATGACGATGATGATGATGATGCTGATGGTGGTGGTGGTGGTGGTGATGATGATGATGATGCTGATGATGCTGATTATGGCGATGATGATGATGATGGTGATGATGATGATGATGATGATGATGATGATGGTGGTGATGATGGTGGTGATGATGCAGATGATGACGATGATGATGCTGCTGATGATGATGCTAATGACGATGGTGATGACGATTATGCTGATTATGATGGTGATGGTGGTGGTGATGATGATGATGATGATGATGATGATGATGATGATGATGATGATGATGATGATGATGACTATGCTGATGCTGCTGGTGATGACGACGACACTGACGACGATCACGATGATGCTGCTGCTGAGGAGGAGGATGAGGCGGAGGAGGAGGAGGAGGTGGAGGAAGAGGCGGAGGAGGAGGCGGAGGAGGTGGAGGAGGAGGGAGGGGGGGAGAGGAGGAGGAGAAGGAAGAGCAGCAGCAGGAGGAGGAGGAGAAGGGAGGATGAGGAGGAAGGAGGAGGAGGGAGAGGGATGGAGGAGACGAAGGGAGGAGGATGGGGGATAGGGAGGATGGAGGATGGATGAGGAGGATGAGGAGGAGGGATGAGGAGGATGAGGAGGAGGAGGAGGATGAGGAGGAGGATGGAGGATGGAGGAGGAACATGGAGGATGGAGGATGGAGGATGGAGGATGGAGGATCGAAGGACGAAGGATGGAGGATGAGGAGGAGGAGAGGGAGAGGAGGAGGAGGAGGAGGAGGAGGGGGGGGAGTAGGAGGAGGCGGAGGGCCGCAGCCCCCGCGCCGCTCGGCCAGTCCGTGAGGTGCCAGCGGCTGGCTGGCTGCAGATCTTCCTCTTCATCGGCACGTACGAGGTGTCCTACACGGCGCGCCCCCCGCGCTTGGGCTCCACGGCCAGCGGCCAGAGGGAGGGCGGGGTATAAGGCAGGTCGAGTGCACGGGGGCCTATGCACTGACGATCCCGACGATCATTGCAGGAGTTTTTGTCCGTGATCCGGATGCTTCGTTCTCGGCTGAATCGAGTGCTCTAGGCGAAGCGGTCGAGGCTGTGAGGAAACTCGCGCTTGAAATAGGCAGCCCGCCGTCCAACATGTGACCTAGGCCTCGAGAAAGAAAGAAAGAGGGCGGGGTAAGAACGAGCTCTACCACATACCAGGCAGGGGTGGGAGCACGGTCGACCAGGGGGTCCTAGGAGGCACACGCCTTACACCCCTCCTCCGTCCTCTCTCCTCCGCACCCCTATCCCTCCTCCTCCTCCTCCTCCTTCTTTCATCACCCTCCTCCTCCTTGTCCTCCTCCTCCTCGTCCTCCTTGTTCTCCACCTCTGGGGTGTTCGGGCTTCCTGGTCGCCAGGGTTGTGGACTCCCCAGCCCCTGGAACCTCTTTTGACAGTTCAGACAACACATATATATACATAATATATATATATATATATATATATCTATTCCTCTTCCTATATTTTTATAAGCCCGGGCGGGGGGAAAACCCGCCCTCCCCCCAAATCCTGACTCCCGGGATTTGGGGCTTTGGGACCCTCCAGACGAGCCTCGAAGCGGCCACCGGGCCTCACATGGCGTTTTGCCAAGCCTTCCCAGCACACCTAGGGCGATCAGGGGGGTCATCGGAGACGTCCCAGAGACCCCCAAGACAGCACAAGAGCGCTCCAAGAGTGACCGACGTGCCCTCAAGATGGCCCAAGAGGCCTCCAGGACGGGCCCAAAGAGGCCTCCAAGAGCACTCCCAAGAAGGCCCCCCGAGGCAAAAATCATTGATTTTCTGTTGGTTTTTGACGAAGTCTGCGGTTCTCCTCTATTCGGCTTCCGACGCTCCAAGACGGCGGTCTTCTGGGCGTCCGAAGCCGCTTGGGAGGCTCCAAAATCGCCCCACAACCATTCGAAAGGGCTTCCAGGCAGTCCAAGAGAGCCCCCAAACGGCACAACACGGGTCCAAGATGGCCCTCAGAGAGCCCCATGGCGGCCCAAGATGGCCTAAAGACACTCTCCGAAGAATTCCAAATCGTGATTCGGTCGTTCAGGGAGACCGCGGTTGGAGGCAGGGTGGCCCGAGGAAGCCCCCGGAGGCCTCCAGAATACGCCCAGGAGGTCTCCAGAAGGCCTTAAGAAAGCCTGCAACAACTTTTGTGAGGCCCCTAGAGGGTCTCCAAGGAGGAGCCTCCGCAAAAAAGAGCTGAGGAGGATGGGGAGAATGCGCAGGGTATGGCGAACATAAGGAAAAAGAAGCATGGAGGAAGGATAACGAATCACATTGTTATAGCGGCGATGCCAGAAAAGGCAACCAGGAGTTATCGCTAAATTGTCGGCTTGACCTTCCTTCTATTCTGCCTGCATTCCAAACTTCAAGGACCAAGATGCATGGCGCGAAGCGCCACGGCAGTCTTGTATATATGTATGTATATATGTATTTATGTATGTATGTATGTATGTATGTGTGTATATATATATATATATATATGTAAACATCCCTGGGGGCAGGCCCGGGGCCCACAAACAGCTGCCCCGACCCCCCATGGCAGGACGGGGCGGCCGGGGAGGTCCAAAATAGTCCAGGAGGGCCTCCAGAGGCTCCCCAGACGGCCCAAGCGGGCCCCGAGTCGCCGAAAGACCGCTCCTGGACGCCCAAGATAGGCCCAAGACGGCCCGAGAAGCCCCCCCAAGGCACTCCACGACGCTTCAAGACGCCTCTCCCGAGCGCTTCAAGAGACCAACATCGTCAATTTATGAAGGCTTTGGAGAGATTTTGGCCTTCCAGCCTTTTCGGCTGTCCGACGTTCCAGGCCGGCTCCATAGGCCCCCAAGAGCGCCCCAAGACGGCCCAAGAGGGCCCGCAGACGGCCCTAGAGGCGCCCAAGAGAGCCCCAAGACGGCCCCAAGATACGCCCAAGAGTGGGACCACGACTCCCAAATTCGACACTCCCGCTTGAAGAGTGCCCCAGGAGGCCTCAAGGAGCCCCTCAGAGGCCCCAGGAGGCCCCCGAAAGGCACCCAGGAGACCCAAACAAGGCCTCAAGATGCCACAAAACAACCCCGAGGAGGTCCCACAACGGTCTCAAAATGACTACCGGGAAGCTGCGAAACTGCCTTCACGACGTCCCCGACAGGCCAACCACGAGATCCAAACCAACACCCATGAGGCCTCTGACCCACCACCTAGGGCACCCGCCGCTCGCCCGCCGTCCGCGTAGCACGCACCACTCTGTACTCAACAGCTTCAGTCTCCAAGACAACACCCTGTAGTCAACAGGTCCCGTCTTCAAGGCAACACCCTGTACTCAACAAGCTCCCGCTGCAAGAGAGCACCCTTAAGGAATTCATTCAAATCCCGACCCGCCCGCCCGCCCGCTCGCCACCCGCCCGCCCGCCGCCCGCCCGGCCGCTCGCCCGCCTTCCGCGTAGCACGCGCCGCCCTGCACTCAACAGCCTCCGCCTCCAAGACAACACGTAGCATTCAACAGCCCCCAGGATTCCCGGGACTGCCCGGGCCCGCTCCCAAACACGCCACGACACGCCAAGAGGGCCCTGAAGATTGCCAAGACAGCCCCAAGAGGCCCCGGACACGCTGAAGATGGCCTCAGGACGGCCGACGACGCCGCCAAAATGCCCCAACAGCGCCTCCAGAGGCCACTCTGAAGGGCCCCGCATTTTTGCGCTCTCGCATGTTCCGCCCCCCCACGGTCCCGGACGGCGTCAGAGGCCCTTCAGATCGCTCCAAGACGGCCGAAGAGGCTCCCAAGGAAAGACCAGAGACGGCCCAGGAGGCTCCCCAGATAAATCAAGAGGGCCTCCAGAGCGCCCCAAGAGGCCCCAAGAGCGACCCAAGAGGGCCCGAAGAGCGCGACATTTCAAGGTCTCTGGCCTTAGAGGCTCCTAGGACGCCCCCGGAGGCCATCAAGAGGCTCTCAAGAAGCCCCGTGAGGCTCCCAAGAGGCCCCCCGCAAGCCCCAATAAGCCAAGGGTTCCCCAGGGAAGCCCCCTGCGGGCCCCCAAGAGACCTCGGTAAATCGTATTTCCCAGAGCTTTCCGGGAACATGATTCCTCGGGCTTCCGCCCACCACCCCAACCACGTTTCCAATAGGCTTGCCGACAAGGCCAAAAAGGGCCCCTCGGTAAGCCCCCAGAGCCCCCCTCTTAAGAGAGCCGAACAAATCGTGCTCCCGGAAAGCTTCCCGGGAACATGATTCTCGGGTTGCCGCCCTCTCCCCAAACCATGTTTATAAACGCCTGCCAGGATAAAAAACGAGAGTCCCAAGCAGCGCTACCTGCCGCCACGCTCGGAAACGCGTCAGGCCCCGAAGCCTCCAGAGGCGCCCAACGACGCCCCAACAAATCATGTTCACAGGAAGTCTTACGGCCACTGCCGCCGACGTTGAAGGAGGACGGTCCAGGACACCCAGAAATCTTCCAAACAGGCTTCCAAGAGGGCGCCGAGACAGCCCAGGGCCGCCCCCAGACGGCCCAAGAAAGCCAGAACACAAACGAAAATGGCTGCGAGGGGGGCCCAAGAGGTCCCGAAACGAGGACATATCGTTCGAACACGCCCAAGATGGCCTCCGGACGGCCCACAAGGCTTCCAAGACGGCCTAAAGGGACGCCCAAGTCATTGATTTTCCTTAGGTTTTTGATAGATTTCAGACACCCAATGTCGCCCCAACAGGCCCCCACGAGGGCGCCGAGACGGCCCAGGGACGCCCTGCCGCGGGCGCGAGGCGGGGCCCGGACGGGGCCTTCGCACCAGGGGGCCCGCGGGCCCTGCTGTGGCGCTGGGGGCCTTGTGAAGTCGCCCGAAGACGGCCCTGGCGTTTCCAGACAACGGAAACGACCAATGACCGCCCGAGATCACCCCAGAATGTGTCCCTGACTGTCCAAGAGGCCTCCAAGACGCCCCAAGAGGTCTCCAAGATGGCTCCCAATGAGCCCAAGGAGGCACAACTAATTTGTTTTCCTTTGGTTTTTGATCGATTTTCGAGTTCTCGCCTTTTGAGTTTCCTGACGCTCCACGACGGCCCAAGAGACTCTAATTTCTGCTCCAGGGCATCCCCAGACCATCGAAGATGGTCACAAGACAGCCTACGGGGGTCCCAAGACGGCACCAGAGGCGCGCAAGGCGGCCCGAGAGGGCCCCAAGACGGCCCCAAGATGGAGCCAAGAGGGTTGACACGAAACGAAAATCTGAGTCTTCCACTCCGAGAGGCTCTCAGGAGGCCCCGAGAAGCTCCTAACAGGCTCCAAGAGGCCCCAAGAAGCCCCCCAGGGGGCCGAAGAGTATCCAAGATGCCTCCCACGAAGGCCCCAAGAGGCAAACATCCATGTCTTACCATAGGTGTTTGATTGATGTTAGAGTTTTCAGCCTTTTGGCGTCCTGACGCTCCAAGACGGCCCCAAAGGCCTCCAAGACCAATCCAAGATAGCCCAAGAGGCCTCCAACAGGGCCCAAGACAGCCCGAGAGGGCACCAATACGGCCCCAAGGGGGGCCCAAGAGGGGTAAGACGAACCGAAAATCCGAGCCTTGCACCCCGAGAGGCTCTCAGGAAGCCCCAGATGCCCCCAAATGGGGCCCATGAGGCCCTCAAGAAGCTCCCCAGAAGGCCGAAGAGGTTCCAAGAAGGATTGTTTTCCCATCGGCCTTTGATGGTTTTTAGAGTTCCCAGCCTTTTGACATCCCGACGCTCCAAGATTGCCCAAGTGGCCTCCACGGCCGCTCCAAGATAGCCGAAGAGGCCTCCAAGAGGGCCCCAAGACGGTACCCGAGGCGCCCAAGACGGCCCGAGAGGGCCCCAAGAGGGCCCCAAGAGAGCCCCGAGAAGGGGAACGCGAACCCAACAGCAGAGCTTTCCGCCCTAAGAGGCCCACAGGAGGCCCCAAGAGTCCCCAAGTGGTCCGACGAGGCCCCAGAAGGCCCACAGGAAACGTGCACGGGGCCCTAAGATAGGCGAACAGTGCTCTCGATGCATCAAAGTTGCTTCAAGGAGGCCCTGGGAGGCTTCCGGATAGCCCCAATGTGGCCTCAAGCCGGGTCTCCACGCAGCCAAGACGGCCAATCGACTGCTTTTGTTTTTTTTTGTTTTTTTTTTTTTTTTTTTTTTTTCTTTTGCTTTTTTTTTTTTTTGTGCTTTTTTGTCTGTTTTTTTTTTTTTTTTTTTTTTTTTTTTTTTTTTTTTTTTTTTTTTTTTTTTTTTTTTTTTTTTTTTTTTCAGGAGAACCCTGACGATGCCCCCAAGGGACCCCAAGAAGCCCCAAGATGCCCCCCCGAGAAGCACCCAAGAGGTGCCTCCAACAGCCAATTGAGGAAGCACGGAGAAGCCCCCAGAAGCCCTTCAGATGCCCCACGAAGACCCAAGAGGTTCCCAAGAGGCCCTTCAGGAGGCACGACTATGTCACGCGCCTGTGCTTGATAGCGCTGTCCAAGATCTTCTAGCGCGCCCCCAGCCTGGGCTAGAACCTGAGCTCGCGCGAAGCGCGCGATGTTTCTAGTAATATATATATATATATATAATATATATATATATCGATTCGAGGACGCCGGCGGCGCATCACCGGCCGCTCCCTGGGAGTTTGCCGAAGTGGTGCGCAGCATCGACAGTCGTGACGCGGCGCGTATGCCACCTATCAAATGGCCGTCGGCCCATCCCGCGACCGTGCTTGGGTTTTGGGTCGGAGGCCTCATGGACGCTTCTTGGGGTCTCTCGAGAGGGCTCTCGGGGGCCTCTGCGGGGGAGTTTAGGGGCCTCTTGGGGGCCTCCCTGGGGGCTTCTTGGGAGCCTCTTGGGGCCCTGTTGGGGGCTCTTGGGGGCCTCTCGGGGCCTCTTGGGAGCCTCCTGGGGGCCTCTTAGGTCCTCCTGGGGGCCTCTTGGGACCGAAAGCTCGAAATGTCCGTTCGAGTTCCGCCTCTTTGGGCCGTCCTGGGGCCCTCTTGGGCCGTCACAGGGGGCCTCTTGGGCCGTCTTGGTGGCCTCCTGGGCCGTCTTGGAGCCCCCTTGGGGGCCTCTTGGGCCGTCTTGGGGCGATCATTGGGGCCTCTTGGGCCGTTTTGGAGTGTCGGGAAGCCAAAATGGCGAGAATGCCAAAATCCCTCAAACACAATCGAAAAATCAATGAATTTTGCCTCTTGGGGCCCTCTTGGGGGTGCTTTTGGAGGCCTCTTGGGGCGTCTTGGAGGCGTTTTGGGTCGTCTGGGCGCCATCTTTGGCGTCTTGGAGCGATCTGGAACCGTCTGGAGGCTATCTTGGACTGCTCCGGACTCTCTTGGACCGGCTTGGGGCGCCCTTAGGTCGTCCCCAGGACGTTGAGACCTTGAGGTCGGGGGGGGGCCGGCGGCAGAATGGGGCCCCCTCGGAGGGACTTTCAGGGAGGTTTTTGACCAGGCACTGGCGAATAGGGCCAAAGACTGTGCCAAACATTCTGTCAGAGAGGTCTCGCACGGCCCACACCGCAGGGCGGGAGCGGCCGGATCTCCGTAAGGGCTTCGCCCCCTGCCGCTGGCCCCCTCTCTCGGATAATGAGCAATGCAAGGGCGAAATCATGAGGCCTTGGCGCCGCCGTGAAGCAGCGTCAGGACTTCACGCGAAGACGATGAGTAATCGGCAAGACAAATTGAGATTCTGATGATATTGTTGAATTCGGTGTTGTATTTCGAGCTTGCTCGCGTATGCTGTGCAACATTTTTTTCTACGAAGTTTTGGAATGTTGCGCAATCCATGTGTTTTTTGAACCTGACCCCACCGATCTGCGTGAGGGGTGCCACCGAATTTCAAGACATGTGTTAAATCCCATGTGTTTTTCGACCCCTACCCTGCCGATCTGCATGAGGGTCGCAATTTTTTGGGTCATAGATGCAGATTTATGGTTTCGGAGACGCGAACATTGCGTAACTTACTAGGGTTTATGGCTTCGGATACGCGAAAAAAGCGTAACTGGCGAGGGTTTATGGCTTCGGGGACGCGAATTTTAGTAAATTCCAATGGTTTATTGCATCGGGAACGCAATTATTGCGTAACTTACAAAGGTTTTTGGCTTCGGAGACTCGTGTATAGCGTAATTTCAGGGGTTTGTGGTTTCGGGGACGCGACTATTGCATGATTTACGAGTGTTTGCGTCCTCGGGGATGGATGTAAGTATTGGTAATTTACAGGAGGTTTATCGCTTCGGGGACACGAGTATGGTGTATTTTGCGAGGGTTTATGGTTTCGGGAACGCGAGCATAATGTAATTCGTAAGGGTTTATGGCCTCGGGGACGCGAGAATTGAGTAACTTACAAGGTTTATGGCCTCGGGGGCGTGATTTTCATATATTTTTACGTGTCCCGCGCCCCCCCCAGAATTCAGATCACGCGATTCGGGCGTGGTAATCCGCACGTTTTTCGGCTCCCCCCTTCGCGCGGTCTACAACAAGGAACAGTAAGCAGCATAAAGCAATATTGTAAAAGTGGAAACTGGAAACTGGAAGTGGCGCAGGGAACAGCAAACCCTCGTCCTACAGCCTGGTGGACCCACAAGGGAGCTGGCGGATATAGTTTGTATATATCGACAAGGTTTGAGCTTTTAGTTCTTTTTATAATTGCCAGAATTGGGCCGATGGGTCAGGCTCACCGCCAACAACCGAACACGCAGTCAGTGCTGGCACAGCTGGTATTGAGAGCACCGAGCATTGTGCGACGCAGACAACATATGCACGCACTTTGCAAAGTATGGCGAAAGTTTCCTGCCTAGCCATCGCGAAACGTCAATCGATTTATCCATGATTTCAGTGAGCACACTGGTCCTCGGCACTGCGCGATGCTGCTTTGCAGTGGCTCGAGGGCGAACCTACGCCGATATGGCAGGGTGTAGGCCTGCAGCCAGGGCGGGCAAGCATGACACCTACCAGAATCCGGGGCGAAACCACTTATCGGCGCTATCTCTGGTGTTTTTTTTTGGGGGGGGGGAAAGGGTGGGAGGAGGTGGAGGAAGAGGAGCCAGGTATCCGCATGATGCGGCTGTTTTGTCCCAGATGCCACTCAGAGCGTTCCGGCGCGCTGGCTCTCAGACTTGTTCGTTTATGCATTCGTCTGCAGGAGGGTGGGGAGGGAATAAGTGAAGGGGCAGAGGAGGATAAGGAGGAGGAAAAGGCGGAGGAGGAGAAGGTGGAGGAGGAGGACGATGAGGAGGAGGAGGAGAAGAGGGATGATGAGGATGAGGATGAGGATGAGGATGAGGAGGATGAGGATGAGGATGAGGAGGGGAGGAGGATGAGGAGGAGGAGGAGGAGGTGCGAGGGAGTGCGGGAGGGATGGAAGGAGAGGAGGAGGGGAGGGAGGAGGAGGAGGTGGAGGAGGAGGAGAGGAGGGAAGGGAGGAGGGGAGGAGGGCAGGAGTGAGGGAGGGAGGGAGGGTGGAGGAAAGGAGGGAGGAGGAGGTGGTGGTGGTGGTGGTGGTGGTGGCCTGGGGAGGCATCGGGTGGGGCCGCGGGCACAGCCCCTTTAGCAGCGCCTCCCGTTCAGGGATGGCTGGGGTACAGCCCACCGCCTGTCTCGGGGATCAAGCAACCGCAGCGTCACGGCGCAACTCGGTCCAAGAGACCGGGAGGAGGGAGGAGGGAGGAGGGAGGAGGGCGGGAGGAGGGGGGAGGGAGGAGGGAGGAGGGAGGGAGGGAGGGGCGGGAGGGAAGGAGGGAATGGAGGAGGAGGAGGGGAGGAAGAGGAGGGGGAGGAGGAGGAGGAGGAGGAGGAGGAAACGTACGGAACCGGAATCGGAACCCAAGAGAAAGAGGGCGGTGAGATGGATGCGGAGAAGGGGGGGGATATAGTTCATGATTATGGTGATGATGATGAGGATGTGAAGGAGGAGGCGTTGATGGAGAGGATGAGGAGGAGAAGGAGGATCAATTTCATTATGAAGCTGAGGAGGGTGGAGGAGAGCAGAGAGGGGAGCAGGCTGAAGGGGAAGAGCGAGGAGGGGGTAAGTATGGAGATGATGAGGAGGACGGGTTCGAGGGAGAGCAGGTGCGGGGAGGAGAGGACAGGGGGCGGGTGGGCGAGCAGACGGAGGATGAGGAGGAGTGCGCAGGATGAGGAGGTGGATGAAGGATGATGATGTGTTCGCAGAGGAGGCGCAGGGTGAGGAGGACGAGGGAGAGGACGATGATGAGGAATAATGAGGACAGAGATTGGGGGATAACGAAGATGGACAAGAAAAGGAGGAGGAGGAAGAGCTCCTCTTTCTCCTCTTTCTTCTCTTTCTCCGCCCTCCCTCCCTCCCTCCATCCCTCACTCTCTTGCCCTGTCATCATTCTCCTTCAACTTTGTCCTCCGACTCCTGCTCTCCCTCTCACCCGCCGCAGGAGAAGCCTGGCGAGCCGGGCAATTACGGCAAGGGGTGGCTCGGCACCGGCATTTTTGGTGGTGTCTCCGATTCCGCCAAGAGGAGATCCGCGACGACCAGACGCGACGATTTCCCCTTCTGCATGTCCCGCTCTTCGGTTTCAGTGGTTTTCTCTCCCTCTCTCTGTGTTTGTGTCGGTGGTACTCGACCTTCTACGAGCGCCTCGTCGCTGAGCGCGAAACCGCGACCACTAAAAGTATGTTATATATACACATCTATGTGTGTGTATATATATATATATGCATCACATAGTGAATTAATATGCCCCCCCCTCCCGGGGGTCCCACACCTCCCTGTGACATCTGCCTTACGCTCCCAGAACCGCGCTTCCCGGCCTCCCGGGGATCCCCCCAAACGCCCAAGGACAGCTCAAGACGACCCCAAGAAGCCCCCAGAACGTAAAAGAACGGCCCAAGACGATTTCAAGCAACCCAAGATAGCTTTCGGGCGGCTCTCCAGGCTCCCAGGAGGCCTCCAAGAGACCTCGAGAGAGCTCCGAGAGGCCTCCCGAGAGCGCCCAGAGAACCTAAACCCGTTTATTGTCATAGGTTTTTTCGAGGTTTTTGGCCTTCTCACCATTTCATGCTTCGAACGCTCCATCTGGCCGAAGAGGCCCCCAACACCGCCCAAGAGGCCTCCCAGACGGCCCCAAGACGGGCCAAGAAGGCCCCAAGACTGCCGAAGAGGCGCCCAGGACAGCTCCAGACACGCCAGAGACTTCCGAGAGGGCTCCGGGACCTCCCAGAAGCCCTGTGATTTCTGAGCTCCTGAGGCCTGGAGAGAGTTCAGAGGCTTAGGTTGGCCACAGTCGTTTCAGTCGTTTCGACTCGCGTTCGCGTTTCGTTCCGCAGCCGGCTTGGGTCAGATGTGCGCGCATCCCAGCGGGCACTTCATTGCGAATCGGCGACGTGGCTGGGCGCGGTGTCATGGCAACGTCGACAACGGTAGACACGATGATGATAGTAGCGATGCTGGTGGCCATGTTGACAACGGCGAAGGCGCGGCCAGTGCGGGTGCCGGTGCTGGTCGCGCCGACGACGATGACGGCGTCTTCGCATCGGTGATGAGGGTTTTTGGAAGGAGTTCGACATGCGCGCGCGGCCGACGCGCGAGAGTGGCCCGCATTGTATTGATTGACGCGGATCGTGCCCCCCCAGCACGCGCGCAAGGGCGTTCGAATAATTTCGGCATGCGGCGCGAGAGGCTCGTTTGGCAGAATTCCAGGAAACTCATAAACAACCAACGGTTTTCTCAAGAAGTTGCAAGAGCGCGAACGCACGTTATTGTTTTGGTGTAGAAAAGCATGCACATGACAACTGATGTTGCGAAGCTTTGTATGTATATATATATATATATATGTATATTGTTATTATTTTACACGGATTATTTGTCTTGGACACTCGATTTTGCAACCGCTACGAAACCAAAGGTTTTTTGGACGGATGTCGGCATGCGCGCGACGACGCGCGTGCAACTCGTTTCATTCTGTGCAAAAGACGGCACGCGCGCAAGGGCGTTCGAACGATTTCGACACGCGCGCGAAGCCTGGTGGGTATCATGCAATAAAAGTTATAAAAACAACGGTTTTCTTGAAAGTTCGCAACAACCCGCGCACATTTTTCAAAGGAATAATGTATCGACGCCGTGTTTTTTTGGGGGGTGCGCTCGATTTTGAAATTGTTACGACACCGGATCGGTATGCGCGCGCGACAACGGGCGCGTGTGCACTTCGTTTTTTCAACAAATTCTTGATAACGGATGATTTTTGACAAACGAATGTGCTCGCATAGTATTTTTTGCAAAGGATGGCGGGGGCGGGGGGGGCGGATACCGGCTTGGCTGGGATGGTATGGATGCATATTTCGGATGGACGATGGGGCTGAATTGTATGTAAATTGTAATACGAAAAGGGGGACCGATAATCCGAGGGGGGGGTGCAGGTTATTGTTTCCTTCGTGGTAGAGGAGAATCTATGCGACGGCGCTCTATGTGGTGCAAGCTATGTGGTGCGCGGCGACGACGGCGGCGACGGCGGCGACGAAGATGCGGCGACGGCGGCGGCGATGGCGGCGATGGCGGCGACGGGCGGCACGGACGGCGACGGCCGCCCCTGGTCCCGAGACGAGCGGCGGCGACGGACGGCGAAGGGCGGCACTGCCCGCAAAAACCGCCCCTGCTCCCGAGATGGTTAAACCAAGTAAGAAACCCTAACTGGAAACGCTGTTTTGGGAAATTCTTGACAATGGCAAGCGAGAGCCCCATTTCAAAATGTCTTCCCTCCCCAAATGCAGCTGTTTATCATGTTCACATTTCGGGCCAGGCAGCCTGAGATAATCGAAAGTGGGAACCACATTGAGAAGGCATCGCCTTCCATCCGTGTAAATGTTTCGTGTTCTTGTTTGGTGCGTAACGAGGAGGTTTCAGGCGATGGGCCAACGTTGGAAGGGGATGCCCCCGCATCCCAGTTTGCACGGTGCAAATGAAAACCACATTCGAGTACCGCCTCTCCCCTACACGTGTAGCCACTGGATGCTTTCAGTGTGAATGTGCACGGCGCTTAAGCGAGAGACACGTTCAGGCAAGGATTAGCCGCCCACCCGCGTAACTGTTGGATGCTTTGAGGCGGGTGTGCGTAGCGCTGAGGCCATAACCATATTACATATGTCACATCGACCCCTGCCCTGAGCCAAAGCCAACGCCACAAACGCGTCTCCGAAAACAGCGTGCGTATGATTTGATTTTGCGCAGCGGCAAGCTGTTCGCTTGTTGCAAAAAGTGCACTCCCTGTGCTGGCCCGGGGGAGCCCCTGGGGGGCGCGCAGAATGTGGATCCACAAGCGCGCCACAGGTGATCCACAGCCTGCGCCAGGCCATTTTGGACGCCCCTGGAACAGCCCGCGCGAACGTGATCCACAAGCTGCGCTTGCACGAGCGCGCGCGTGGCCTCCGTAATCTGATTTTTAAACATGATCCTTAACTTCTATGTCTTGGTTGTGATCAGAACAAGTGTGGATGAGTTTTCGGCGGGCGGTTTTGGAGGTTGCGATGCTGATGGTGTTGTTGTGCCCCGCTACGCGCAGGGGTGGGCGCCCTTAGGTTTCTTGGGCCTAATGGATCGCAGTTGCAAAGCGCACTTGGCTAACTCGCCATGGTCTGGCAGGCGGCCAAATACCATATTCAACACCTGTGCACGCGCCATGAGATTAGCCATTCGCAGACATCCTCCTCGTCCGTGCATATTTGGAGAAGGGGACAGGAGGAACAGGAGGCGGATACGCGGATAAGGAAGAGGAGGAAGAGGAGGATCAGGAGGAAGAGGAGGAGGAGGAGATTTGGCTTGACTTGGGTTGGCCCTAAAGGCTGGTGCAACAACTTACTCATCCGAATCAGATCCCCCCCTCAAAATCGGGGTACGCGGGGGCTGACGAGCCCCTCTGGATCGCACGACGACCCATCTCGAGCACATTGGTTGGGTCCTCGACCGTCAAACCAACAGCTCTCAACTCTTCGTCCCGCCCGCCCACCTCCTCCCGCTCCCATGTCGAACGGGACAGGCTGGCCACACTGGAGTGTGTGGAGGCGGCCTCGGCCTGCTCACGCAGGCCCGCTCTCACCGCTGGCAACACTCCGTGGGGACGGCTTTATCGGAGGGCTTTCACCCCCGCTCTGTAATGGGTGAACTCTCCTTCACATGTACCTTTCCCGCGGCCGAGACGCACAGAGGACACAGTCGGAGTTAATTTACCATCGTATCTCTCAGCGCCGCACCGACAGCAACACAGAACAAACTTGATCCTCGGATTCGTGCCTTCGACGTCCGAATGAAGAAGGAGGTGCTGCTGCCAGCGGAAGCGGAATCTAGAGTGCTTCTCCCGCCCAGGCCCCACTCCCAAGCCCAGCACCTTCACCCCGAACCCTCCAGGATCCGCGGGTGGGCTCCTGGTCGGGTCTCGCTGGGCCGTCCGCGGGCGGCGCCTGGGACGGGGAGGCCTGGAGCTTTGCAAGGTAGCACTCTATGAGGTCTTCATGATCCTGGGCGTCGGCTTGGATGTGGGCCTCTGTGGCCCATGCCGCCGCCTCGCGCGCACACGACTCCAGGCCTCGCCAAAGCTGATAAAAAGTTTGCTCGACCCCATGGGCTGAAGCACCTTTTCTAGCAAACTCATCCGCAAGACTGTTTGACGCAAACTTCCATTCCGTGGTGTGCCCAGCATCTATGTCCGCACGCGCGCAGTGGGCCTTCGTCTTGTACATATGGATGTCCACCCGCTGGAACGCAGCCCAAAACTGGCTCCAAAGATGCGCACGAGGATTCCCACAGCCCGTCCCACCACCTCCCCCCGCCACACCGTGCCGACAGTGCCAGCACAGTCAGCATCGACATCAAACGGGGGCATAGCTACCTGAGTGAGCATATTGAGTGCATAGTCCTCGGCATCTCTTGCTGTTTGCCGAGGTGCAACAGACACTGGGACGGGCCCGTAGGCCGCTGCCTCTAACCTACCGAACCTATCAACTTGCACAACAGCCCAGCCCGCTCAGGCCAGGTGGGGACACTCAGCCCACAGGGCCGAGCCGTCCGTAAAATGAATGCCCATCAGAAGGCCAAGCTCATGTTGGCTGTGCCAGAAGATGTTCTGCTCCGGTTCCTCTGGGACTTCCAGCTCCACGGGGTTCGGGAGCAGGCCCCTCGGGAACCTCTTCCCCACCTCGAAGCCCCACTCCTTAACCCTAGCAGCATGAGTACGTAGGAATGCTGAGGTGTGTTCCCGTCGGAGACCTTCAAGAGCTGGGCACGCATAGAGGGGCATCCTCCTCCTGTTCCTCCTCGGGCTCGGGCTGTCGGCATCACTGTTCGGTCGAACGCAGCCGTCCCCTTCCCCCCCTCCTCCTCTTCCTCCTCCTCCTCCCCCTCCTCCTCCTCCTCCTCCTCCTCCTCCTCCTCCTCCTCCTCCTACTCGACAACCGGACCGCCCGATTCGGTCGCAGAGCGATGCAAGGACGAGTGGTCACCTACACCGAGGGTAAAATTCGATCGATGTCGACGAAACAGGTCTTGTCGTACTGGCGGGTCGTCTCGACGGAAACCAAGCTCGTTATTCGACGTTTTCATTGGTACGTGGGGTGGGCCAAGGACCCTCAGAAGCACTCCCTGGAGCTCTGCTTATTGTTCGGGTCTCTCGATGTTCCAGGGGATCGGGGGGTGCACCTAGCAGGAGATTCGCCGACGGTTTCAGCTTCCCCGTGGCTCCGCAGGCTCCAGAAGGACTTCAGAGGGCCGCCGAGGACGTAGATGGGGGCCAAGATGTGTGTAACTACATAAGCAAGTACCCAGGACGCATGATAGACAAGGATGTTTTGGAAGAGCTCTCCCAGATAGATTTCACGGAGATTCGAGCTCGTGGCCTTTCGCATACTGTACCGCCGCCTCATACGCAGTCGGCTTCGCCTGTGCCTCCACCAGCTGAGGAACAGGTGGTCCAGACAGACTGGACGTGCGATTGGAAGCTCGAGCTCGACACTGGGGAGACAGCAATCTGTGGCTGCGAGTTCCGCACCAGGCGTGACCTACTTAACCATATGCGACGGGTCCACCTAGTTCGAAATTACCTAACAGCGAAGACTGGTAGGTTTCTAGTGAGGTAAAAAGAGCTCACAGATCACTCCACAGGGGGGTCCGGGCAGGCGTTGGGAGTTGCCGGGCGGCAGGGGGCCCCGCTCGTTTTTCACCAACAGTCACACACTTCGTGCTCTTCGAGTTCCCAGAACTCCATTCCCAGGCTCATTCTGAATAACCGGATGCAACAGTCACTCACTTCGTGCTCTTCGAGATCCCAGAACGCCATTCCCGGGCCACCTTTAGAATAACCGGATGCAACAGTCACACACTTCGTGCTCTTCGAGTTCCCAGAACGCCATTCCCGGGCAACATTCTGGAGGGCCGGATGCAACAGTCACACACTTCGTGCTCTTCGAGTTCCCAGAATTCCATTCCCGGGCCACATTTTGGATGCCCGGAGCCAACTGTAGGCCACTTCCTGGTCTTCGAGTTCCCAGAACTCCATTCCCGGGCCACATTTTGAATGCCCGGAGCCAACAGTAGGCCACTTCGTGCTCTTCGAGTGCCCAGAACTCCATTCCTGGGCCACATTTTGAATGCCCGGAGCCAACTGTAGGCCACTTCGTGCTCTTCGAGTTCCCAGAACTCCATTCCCGGGCCGCATTTTGATGCTGATGCAGAGGCTGAGAATGGTGATGCTGATGCTAAGGCTGAGGCTGAGGCAGGCAGGCTGAGGCTGATGAGGCTGAGGCAGGCTGAGGATGAGGCCGAGGCTGAAGGCAGGCTGAGGCAGACGCTGAGGCAGGCTGAGGCTGAGGCAGGCTGAGGCTGAGGCTGAGGCTGAGGCAGGCTGATGCTGAGGCAGGCTGAGGCTGAGGCTGAGGCTGAAGGCAGACTGAGGCTGAGGCAGGCTGAGGCAGACGCTGAGGCTGGCTGATGCTGAGGCAGGCTGAGGCTGAGGCTGAGGCTGGGGCGGATGCAGGCTGATGCTGAGGCAGGCTGAGGCACAGAGGCTGAGGCTGAAGGCAGACTGAGGCTGAGGCTGAAGCAGGCTGAGGCTGAGGCTGAGGCAGGCTGAGGCTGAGGCAGGCTGAGGCTGAGGCTGAGGCAGGCTGAGGCTGAGGCTGTGACTGCGACTGCCGTTGCCTCTGCGACTGTCATCGCGAATGCGACTACGACTGCGAGAACAGCAGAACTCTACAACTGGATTCTCATCTGAATCTTAAGGGGAATGCTTCCAGATATGCTCCTACACATCGCTGTTAGGTTGCTTTGCCGGGATAATTCAGGCGTGTGTCAGCTTGGCCCCGCATATCTCCCCTGTTCCTCCTTCCTCCCGCCTCCTTGTCTATTCTCCTTGTGGGGGGAGCGGGAGAAGGACGAGGCGGAGGAGGAGGGAGAGAAAGCGCTCCTCGTGATTTGAGTCGTTTGGGGTTTCTCGTCCTGGTGTGAGTCGTTCGGGCCCTTCTTCCTGGTGTGAGTCGTTCGGGCTCTTCGTGGTGTGAGTCGTTCGGGCTCTTCGTCCTGGTGTGAGTCGTTGGGCTTCTCGTGGTGTGAGTTGTTCGGGCCCCTCATCCTGGTGTGAGTCGTTCGGGCCCCTCCTCCTGGTGTGACTCGTTCGGGCTCCTCGTGGTGTGAGTCGTTCGGGGCCTTCGTCGTGGTGTGAGTCGTTCGGGCTCCTCGTGGTGGCTTGTATGAGCGCTGCCCCTCCTCCTGGTGTGACTCGTTCGGGCTCCTCGTGGTGTGAGTCGTTCGAGGCCCGCGTCGTGGTGTGAGTCGTTCGGGCTCCTCGTGGTGCGAGTCGTTCGGGCGCCTCGTCCTGGTGTAAGTCGTTCGGGAACCTCCTTGTGGTGTGAGTCGTTCGGGCTCTTCGTGATGTGAGTCGTTCGGGCCCCTCGCCCTGGTGTGAGTCGTTCGGGCTCCTCTTGGGGCCTCTTGGGGGCCTCTTGGGAGCCTCTTGGGGCCTCTTGGGGGCCTCTTGGGGGCCTCTTGGGGGCCTCTTGGGGGCCTCTTGGGGCCTCTTGGGGCCTCTTGGGGGCCTCTTGGGGGCCTCTTGGGGGCCTCTTGGGGCCTCTTGGGGGCCTCTGGGGGGCCTCTCGGGGGCCTCTTGGGAGCCTCCTGGGAGCCTCTTGGGACTATCTTGGGGCCTCTTGCGGCCTCCTTTGAAGCGCAACTGAGAGCCGGCCCCTCAGAAGGACAAAATGAGCCCAACACCTTCGTAAAATCAATGATTTTGCTATAAAGGACGATGAGCGCTGCCCCCTCAGAAGGCCAAAATGGGGCCAACACCCTGGTAAAATCAAGGTTTTTGGCTTCAAAGACGAGCGGAGGCGCCAAACGGTCCCCCCCCCTGGGGGCCAGAATCCTCGTGAGGGTCGTCGTTTTTTGGCCCTCCCAGGAGTCGAAAAAGACCCCCTTGATCCCACTCGGCCCGCCCTCTCCAGGCCCAGGGGGAGGGGGTAGGGGGAGGGGTAAACCCCTCCCCGAAGGGGAAGAAGAGGGGTAGGGGGTTGAGGACAGAGCGGGCTCTCTAAACCACTCACGCCCAAAGGGCTGGTGGGATTTATGCTCGGTGCTCACGCCCACGAACACCTGTGTCGCCTGCCGTCAGACTTTCGGATCCCAGGGGAACGCTTACAAACACCTCCAGCGAGCCCTTCTAAACGGAGAATGCCCAGGCCGAGGCACACTTACGCTCCTTCCAGCCCAGGGTGTGCGACCCATGGAGCGCCCACTGTGTCAATGCCAGGCCGCAGATCTCGACGGCCTCTGTGGACACCTCCGTAGCCATCTAGCTCGAGAAGTTTTGCCCCCTGCACGGCCTACGGCACCCGAAGAAGGTGGCGATGTCCGACCTGGAGGCTTCCGCTGGGTTGCAGACGTTCCCACCTGCTGGGGGGGCACCAGGCCTCAAGAAGGTCAAGATCGAGGCCCGCCAAATGATTCAGTCAGGCAAGGCCGACGACGAGATCATCTCGCAGCTCGTGCTGGCCATTACGCGCCTCGTTCTCGCAGACAATCGGGCCATCGTAGAGCTGGCGGCGACGGTCTACACAACATGGGCTCTCGACTGCACCGAGGACGGCGTAACCGACGTGATGGAGACAGCATGCCGCCGTTACCAGGAGATCTCACAGGATATGGCCACCAAGCGCAAGGGAGGCGAGCAGGTCGACTTCAAAGGTCGCGGCCCCCCGCACCTCCACGTGTTCTTGAGCGGCCTCATCTTCCTCGCGCAGAAGGAGACGGGCTGGGGCAAGGAGCTGAAGGAGACCTACGGCAGCGAGTTGAAAAGGCTACTCGATGCAGCAGCTGGGCGAGATTGTCCTCCACTGGCGGTGGAAGCGGAGCAAGAACGAGGCCAAACTTGAGAAGAGGGACTACCTCATCATCGCGATCGATTCGGACCACGCGACGGGCCGCAGGTTGATCCCGAGCCTCTTTGCAGCACTCATAGACTTGAAGGGGGGGCGCCGCATTGGACCGCCGCCGAAGGGACCGCTCCAGAGGGACGCCGCGAAGCTCTTGTCGCAACTCAAGAAATGACTGGTCCTGCGCACATGACTACCAGGACGGGGCAAGCCACGCGGTCGGCCATCACTGCCCCCAGCTCTTCCTCACAGCCGAGTTCGGCGATGAAAATGGTGCCAGCATTCCTCAGAGATAGTGGTCGACTGCGAGAGCTGATCCGACGCGGCGACATACCGCCTGATGTGCTCCAACATAGGACTGCGCCCACCCCGCCACCTGTTCCAACGGCCTACGGCCCGACCCTCCCGCCCGTCCCTACAGTTCTTTTGAGGTCCGCTTCGAGAGGACGAGGACGAGGAGGAGGGGGGGGGGCGGCCGAGGCATAGCAGGCAGGGACAATCTTTTATTCCAGGACGCGGTTTTCCATAGCCCTTTAGACGGACCCCCGCTCCCCTGAGGCAGACGGCCCCATTACCCCTCCCTCGTGCCAGTGTGCGGTCCTGGCCCTGTGGGCTCCGTATACTGGCGGCGGGTGCGAGGGTGGGGGGACTGTGCGCCTCTTGTTCCCCCGCTCGGGGGAGCGGATGGGCCAAGCGTAATTCAGCAGTCCCCAGGGGCGCCCTCTCGGCTGCGTGCCATATCGGAGGGTTGCCCCTGATGGGGCAGCGCGGCTTTGTCCGAGTGCAGAGGCCGCCAGGATGGTTGTCGTTCTATGTAACGCCACTCAGAGTTCCGAGCGTTGCGAGGGTCACTGGTGGCATCAGCCGCCTGAGACGAGATGTATCTTGAGTACAGAATAGAGCAAGTGCCAGTGGAACGTGCGAAGAAGAAGGAGAAGGGAGTAAGCCGCACAGCACAAAGCCGAAGGCGAAGTACGAAAAACACGAGAAGAGAAGAAACGAAGAAGCGAGAAGAAAGAAGAAAGCGAAGAAGAAGAAAAAGCAGAGACAAAGAATACGAAGAAAACGACAAATGACGAAGAAAACGAACAAGCCGAAGACGAAGCAAGAAAGATCGCAGACGCAGTAAGCACGTCCACGCGCCGAAGCACGACCGCCTCTCTCTCTCCCTCCTCCCTCCCGCTCCCCTCCTCCTCCTCCCCTCCTCCTCCTCCTCCATCCTCCTCCCTCCTCATCTCCTCATTCCTCCTCCTCCTCCTACCCCTCCCCTTCCCCTTCCCCTCCTCCTTCCTCCTCCTCCTACTCCTCTCCTCCTCCTCTCTTCCTCCTCCTCCTCCTCCTTCCTCATCCTTCCTCCCCTCACCTTCCCCTCCTCCTCCTCCTCCTCCTCCTCCTCCTCCTCCTCCTCGTCCTCCTCCTCCTCTTGCCTCCTCTTGCCTCCTCCCTGTCCCTCCCCTTCCAGCTCCCCACAGGGAGTCCGCTGTGTACTGCCAGTGTCGCCCCCTCTCATCCCCCAGCGGCCCGCGTGCGCGCCTTCGCCGTTCTGCACGCCACCGCAGCGCTGCTCCCCCGCCCGCGCTTCTGCCGCCACAAGGGGGCACGCGCCGGCCCCGCAGCCTCGGCCGCCGCGGCCTCCCACGTCGGCGGCTGCTCGCCGAGGACCCGCGGCCTGAACTCCGAGATCGCGAACGGGCGCCTGGCCATGATGGCGATCATCGGCATGTTCTACCAGGAGGGAGGGGGGGGGGGAGGAGGAGGAGGGGGAGGAGGAGGGAAAGGAGGAGGGGCAGGAGGAGGAGGAGGATGAGGAGGGGTGACTTCGGGGGGTCCGTCTTCGCCTTTCTCTAATCTTTTATGGTGCGGCTTCAGATGTATTGGCCCTTAACTAGCGAGCGAGCGAGGAGTGGTGGGAATAGGAGGAGGAGGAAGAGGAGAAGGAGGAGGATGAGGAGGAGGAGGGGTGACTTGCAAGGCCGATCGTGCAACGTGATCGTGGTCGTGATCTCCTTCAGGGTCCGACTTGCAACGTGATCGTGCATTATTATCGTCGTCCTCGTCTTCATCCTTTCTTCATCCCCTCTTTCCACCTTTGTAGTCGTCGTCCTTCTTGTGGGTCGTCGTCGTCATCGTGATCGTGATCGTGATCGTGATCGTGATCGCTTGGTTGCTCGTCCCTTCTCGTCGTCGTCGCCGCTCACGCTGTCGAGCCGATACGCTGTACGTTCTCTGCGCCTGCCCCGAGAACCTGCCAGCCTTCCTCTGCCGTGTCCCCCTCCTCCCCCCGCCGTTGGGGAGGACGGCCTCACGGGGTCCGCCTGGGGCGACTGGGACCTCTACACGGCCTCTCCGCTGCGCGCCTTCGAGAACGAGCTCGGCGTACAGGACGGGGGGAGGGAGGCCCACCCAGACCTTGGGGCGTCGTGGAAGAATCGCCAACGACCTAGGCGATGCGGGCTGGCAGTGGCGCCGTGCGTGCACTCCCACATGGTCCAAACGACCATCGGCATCGTGAGCCGTCACACGACGACAAGAGCAAGGAACACGCACAGTACGGGCAGATGGAACATCAGCCCGGATTGCCATTGCATGGGAGGTGGAAGTGAGAAGGGGAGGGGACCAGAGCAGGAGGAATGTGCAGATGTTGTTGGGTGCACGCACGCGCCAAGATAGGAATACTCTGATTGGATAGCACGACGGTGCCCAGAATGGAGATCCTGCTCCGCAGCGGCTGGAGGGCGTGCCTGCGCCGGAAGTGCGGCCCAGGGTCGGCCAACACCGGCCGCAGAACACCCGCGCGCCAAATCCATGCAGGCAGTGGCATCCCAACCGCTAATTCGGGGCGGGAGGGAGGAGAGGAGGGAGGAGGAGGAGGAGGAGGAGGAGGAGGAGGAGGAGGAGGAGGAGGAGCAGGAGGAGCAGGAGGAGGAGGAGGAGGAGGAGGAGGAGGAGGAGGAGGAGGAGGAGGAGGAGGAGGGGGAGGAGGAGAGGAAGAGGAGGAGGAGGAGGAGGAGGAAAAAGCAGGCGAGCGGAGGAAGAGGGGGGACCCGAAAACCAAGGCTGGAAAGGAGGAGGAATGAGGCGATGGGAGGAAGAGGGGGGACCTGAAAACCAAGGCTGGAAATGGCACGGGATCGGTGCGCGGCCTCACTGGGACGGCCCAGGGCCTCAGCAGAGGCATGGATCCGCGCACGCCAGCGCTCCGCTGCCTGTCGGGCGCCCTGCACCAGGACTGATCATCCCGAGGTGGGTGTGATGGTGGTAAATAGATTTGAATTTCATACAACAGGGAGACCCGATGCGGTGTAAGCTAGGTGGTGCAATCTATGTGGTGTAAACTAATTTCTGTTCGCAGTGAGTTGTCCACTCCACTGCTCGCGCAAACATCTCACCCACCCACCCGCAACTTGGTTTGCAACATCTCTTAAGATCGTGACGGTGGGTACCAAATGGCACTTGGCAACGACAGCGGCGCCGACGACGACAGCGACAACGACGACGACGACGCCGCCGACAACGACAACGACGACACCGACGACGTCTCCAACGACTTCGACGACGCCGACAACGACGACGACGACGACGACACCGACGACGACGACGCCGACGCCGACGACCGACGACACGATCGACGATACGCCGACGACGACGACAAACGACGCCGACGACGACGAGCAACGAGTCGACGCGACGAGACGACGACGACGCCGACGCCAACGAACGACGAACGAAGACGACGACGACGTCGCAACGAAGACGACGACGAGGGAGGAGGGAGGACGACGACGGCGACAACGACGACAACGACGACAACGACGAGGGAGGAGGGAGGACGGCGACGATGCGAACGACGAAGAAGGAGGAAGGACGGCGACGCCGACGACGACAACGACGAGGGAGGAGGGAAGACGACGACGACGACAACGACGACGACGACGACGGCGACGAAATAGGAGGGACGACGACGAGACGCCGACGACGGACGACGACGACGACAAGGGAGGAGGAGGAAGGACGACCACAGCGACAACGACGACGGAGACGACCACGACGCCAAAGAGGACGACGACGACGAACACGAGGAAAGACAGAGGACGAGGACGTAGGCGACGACGACGACGACGCGGGAGGAGGGAGGACGACGACGACGACGACGACGACGACGCAAGAGCGCGCGCGCACGCTTTTGTTGAAAATCCGTGTTGCGAAACCTTGTGTTTTTGCAGGTTTTGTGGACACATGATGTTGACATCCTTCCGAAGCCTATGGGTTTTGAATGATTTCGGCATTCGCGCGCGACGACGCGCGCGTCTGCACTTCGTCATATTTTTTGCAGAGGGTTCTCGCGGCGGCACACGCGAACAAAAACTGTACCCGCGTATGTTTTTAACAGGGGACCTCAGGGGGAGCGATACCGCCCCCCTGGGATAGTGTCAATTCATATTTAGGATGGACATGTGGTCAGAATCATATATGGTTTACACGCCCGAAAGGGGGGCGGCTTTCTTGTTTTGAAAGGAGAACCAATCGCTTTCTCAACTTGAAGCTGTCCTCTCCACTTCTCGTGCAAACATCCCATCCTCCCACCCGCAACTTGGTCGCAAGTTCTCCTAAGACCGTGACGGTGGGTACCAAATGGCACCTGGCAGCGGCAGCGACGCCGACGACGACAGCGACAACGACGACAACGACGCCGCCGCCGACAACGACTACGACGACATCGACGACGTTTCCAACGACTTCGACGACGACGGCGACGACGCCGATACCGACGACGACGACGCCGACGCTGACGACGACGACGATGACAACGCCGACGACGATGACGACGCCGCCAACGACGATGACGACGCCGACGACGACGACGACGGCGACGACGAAGACGACGACGACGACGACGACGAGAGAGCAGGGAGGACGACGACGGCGACGACGACATCGACGAGGGAGGAGGGCAGACGACGACGACGATGACGACGGCGACGAAATAGGAGGGAAAACGACGAAACGCCGACGAAGACGACGAGGGAGGGAGGACGACCACGCCGACGACGACGACGGAAACGACGACGACGCCAAGACGACGACGACGACGAGGAAAGACAGAGGACGACGACGGCGACGACGACGACGATGACGAGGGAGGGAGGACGGCGACGACGACGACTCAAGAGCGCGCGCGCACGCTTTTGTTGAAAATCCGTGTTGCGAAACCATGTGTTTTTGTAATACCTCGATTTTGAAATACCTCCGACACCTAAGGTTTTTGAAGGATTTCGCCATGCGCGCGCGACGGCGCGCGCGTCTGCACTTCGTTCCATTTTTTTGGCAGAGGATTCTCGCGACGGCACGCGCGCACGGGCGTTCGAAAGATTTCGACATGCGCGCGCGAAACCCGTTCGGTAGCATTTTTGGCAAATCTTGGAAACCAATGGTTTCCTGAAGATTTCGCATGAGCGCGTGCGTAAGTTTTTTAGAACATCAGTGTTGCCGAGCCATTTTTTGAAGCTCGATTTTGAAATCCTTCCGAAACCGAAGGTTCTTGAAGGATTCCGGCATGCGCGCGCGACGACGCGCGCGTGTGCGCATCGTCTCATTCTTTGTTGCAAGGGATTTTTGGAAGCTTATGTTTTTTGATCAACGAGAGTGCGGGCATAGTATTTTTTGCAGAGGATTGCGGGGGGGTGATACCGCTGGGATAAGATGAAGTCATACTTGGGATGGACGCGTGTGTAGAATAAATGTGAAATCGCAATACCCCAGGAGGGGATCGTTAACTCCGGGGTGGGGGTGGGGGTGATGCAGAGTGTATTCTGTTTCTTAGACAGGAGAACTAAGTGGTGCAATTTATGTTGTATAGACAAAGTGGTGCAATCCACGTATGATAAAATACGTGTGGTGCAATGGTTGTTTCATGTAGTTCGTATGGTGCAACGTGGTGGTGTGAACTACGTGGCTTTATCTACGTGGTGCAGTCTATGTGGTGCGTACTTTACTTTTACCATAAAAACGGGTTGACAATTTCCTTGCTCGTGCAAGCCTCCCAACCATCCACTTGCAACTTGGTTTGCAGAGCCCGTGCGGCGGCGATTGCCATGAGTGCTTGGCGCTGGCTGGTTCATCTTTACGGCCGCGCTACTCTGCGCATGCTCGCGAGCGCAACGGCCACATAGTTTGGCGCGACCGACGCGGCCGCGGTGGCGCTGCCCGCTGGGCACTTCCCAGCGGGCGCTTCAGTGCGAGTCGGTGACTTTGGCGGGCGCGGTATCATGGCGACACCGACAACGGTAGACAGGATTATGAGAGTAGCGATGATGGTGACGGTGGTGGCGCTGACGACGGTGAGGCGGATGATGGCGCCGATGTTGATCACGACCGCCGATGACGATGACGATGTCCTCGCGTCGGCGATGAATGTTTTGGAGGGAGTTCGACTTGCCCGCGCGGCTGACGCGCGGGAGTGGCCCGCGAGGTATTATTTGAATCGGATCGTGCCACCTCCAGAACGCGCGCAGAGGCGTTCGAATGAGTTGGACATGCGGGGCGAGGGGCCCGCGTGGCAGCATGTGAGGAATGCGAAGTCCGCGAGCGCAAGCTTTTTTCGTTGGGAACTGATGTTGCAAAACCATGCGTTTTATTTGTCTCGGGGTACTCGTTTTTGACGTCCTTGCGAAACCCCGGGTTTTGGAAGGATTCCGGCATGCGCGCGCGACGACGCGCGCGCGTGCATTTCGCCCCATTTGGTTCGCAGGATTTCCGCGACGGCGCGCGCGCAAGGGCGTTCGAACGACTTCGACGCGCGCGCGGGATGCCAGTTTGATCGCATATTTTATGAGTTTGTTGAAACATTTATGGTTTGCGTGGAATTCGCGAGAGTTGCGAAACCATGGTTTAGGAGGTTTCCACGGTTCTCGATTATGAAATCTTTGCGGGCCCTGGATTTTCAAAGTTTTTTCGGCGGGCGCGCGCCGGGCGATTCCGGCTTGTTTGGGATGGTGCGAGGTTAATGAATTTAGGACGGGCGATGGGGCAGGATAGCGCGTGAATTGCAACGTGAAAAGGTGGATCGTCACGTGCAGGGGGGAGAGGTATAATCTAATTCCCCAAGCAGGTGCTTGCCCTTTGGGGTTATTGCTTACGTTGACCATCTCGGGGCCCTCCCCGCAAAATCGACGCCGCGCCGCCCGTCGCCGCCCGTCGCCGCCTGTCGTCGTCGCCGCCCGTCGCCGCCGTCCCCGCCCGTCGCCGCTCGTGCCGCCCGTCGCCGCCCGTCGCCGTTGTCGCCCGTCGCCGCCGTCCCCGCCCGTCGCCGCCCGTGTCGCCCGACGCCGTCGCTTTTGGGTCGTCGCCCCAAAATCACCGCCGCGCCGCCGGTAGCCGCCCGTCGCCGTCGCCGCCCGTCGCCGCCATCCCCGCCCGTTGCCGCCCGCGCTGCCCGTCGCTGCCCGCCGCCCCCCGTCGCCGTCGCCGCCCGTCGCCGCCGTCCCCGCCCGTCGCCGCCCGCGCCGCCCGTCGCCGCCCGCAGCCGTGGCCGCGTCGCGTGCATTGCGCCGCGGAAGTTGCATTGGGTCGGTCGCGACGCATCCATTGCGCCGAATAGATTGCACCGCGTAGGCTGCATTGCATAGGTTGCATCAGATACACTGCACCACGTAGGTTGCACCTCGTAGGATTGCAGTACATAGTTCGCCTCGCATACATTGCACCGCGTATATTCCACCGCGTGAATTGCATTGCATAGGCTGCGTCGCATACATTGCACCACGCATATATTGCATTACATAGGTTGCATCGCATACGTTGCGCCGCATATACTGCGCCGCATAGGTTGCATTACACAAGTTGCATCGTGCACATTGCACCACATGGGCTGCGCCGCGTGGGTTGCATTGCATATATATATATATATATATATATCATCGCATGTATTGCATCGCGTAGATTGCATTGCGTGGGGTGCATTATATAGGTTGCATCGCATATGTTGCACAACGTGGGTTGCGCCGAAGTGCACAACGTAGGTTGCTCCCCCTCCCCCTCCCCTGGGATTATCATTTTCCATCGTCGCATTGCAATTCGCATGTGATTCTGCCCCATCGTCCATCCTAAATGTGACTTCGTGTTATCCCAGCCCCGCCGGCATCGCCCCTCCCCCCCCGCCGCCTTACGCAGCGCATAGTTTGCGCGCTCTTGTTTCCCACAAATCATAAGTTTTCGTGTATGCTTGCAA